ATGATATTGTTCAGGTAATCTTAATCTTCATCTCAACTTTTCACATGGTGCAGGAATGTGTGTAAAAGTTGCATAAAGTTTTCAGTAGTGTATAAGAAATTAAGAATACTTAAACTTTTCTCTTTTCGTCAATAATTCAATGGCCCTTCATTCATGTTGATTCCATGTCCAGGATTCAGTTGCTGCCACCTAACATTCAGTACTATTTTTTAAACAAATCTCTCCATGCAGATTTGGTTTTCTTTTTAAACAATTTCTTCTAAACATTTTTTTATGTAAATGGTTGGTTGATGATGCCTTCTATTCTCGGCCATACTTTTGGTGGAGGATTGCTTAATCTCTGGTTGGTCATATGGTGGCTTCTGATTGCAGGGTTATGTTAAGAGTGTTACTACAAAGGGATGTTTCATTTTGCTTTCAAGGAAGCTTGATGCAAAAATACTTATGTCAAATCTTTCTGATGGATACATTGAGAATCCTGAAGCGGAATTCCCAGTGGGTAAACTTGTTGTTGGAAGGTATGTGTTTCCTATCTCCCCTTCCTGCAGTTGTGTTTCATAAAAAATTATAACAGAGCAGTACCTAATAAAGCTCTGAATGCAGAATATTGTCTGTGGAGCCTTTATCAAATCGAATTGAAGTTACTTTGAGGACATCAAACTCTAGAAGTGAGGCAAAATCTCAGAAGAATGATTTGAGCCACCTAAGCGTTGGAGATAAAGTTTCTGGCTTGATTAGGCGGGTGGAATCATATGGATTGTTTATAACACTGAACAACACAAACATAGTAAGCAGTTCCTTGTATATTTTCATGTCGTTGATGTAAATCCACAGGCTTTATTTCCCTTTTCCTTTTGAAAGGCCTCAAATTTCTGCTACCTGCTTGAGATTCTGTGATTGCATGAACATCAGTGTTACACTCAGTGCAGCAGTTTAGAGTACTGTTCGAGTTCAAGCTGCTAAAAGTTTGTTCTATCCTTGCATAGGTTGGACTGTGTCATGCATCACAGCTTCCAGGTGATCATGTTAGCAACATTCAAAGTAAATATAAAGCTGGAGAGAAGGTTACAGTAAAGATATTGAAGGTAATAAATTTATTGTAAATTTGATAATAGTTCAAAATACTGTTGCACATATATATCTAAAACCAGACAGCTCTGGTCTTACTGTTTTGTATCTCGCCTGATTTCTTAAACAATTGGTCAATATGTTTGTATTGCTTTTCTTTTTTAGCCTGAATACTATTATATTTTACTTATTTATGCCCTTCACTTATTTAAGCTCTGACAATGTTCTCTTAAGACTAAGTCTGTCCTGAATGCTCAAATCTTTCCAGGTGGATGAGGAAAGGTCTCGAATTGCGCTTGGCATGAAAAACTTGGAAACTCAAGGTGACCTTGACAGAAATGGAGATGGATCTGTTGCAGGTGGAGGGGGAGACAGTGATTCAACTGATGATAGTGACTCCAATTTGATAATTGTTCCTGGGAGTAGTTTAGCTGAGAAACAAGATTCGGACTCTGAAGATGGAGGTGAAGAACAAACAATTTTTGCAGAAACATTATCAAGGGCTTCCATTCCTCCATTGGAAGTGAACCTTGATGACATGGAGGAAGATAATGCAGAGGATCAGATTCGTCATCAGCAGGAGCACAATGATGAACAAGGCCCTATAGACAAAAAGAAAATGAAAAAAGAAAAAAGTAAAACTAGGGAAGAGAGGTCAGTTGTTGCTTGTGTTCTCTGATTTCATCAAAATGGCCTAATTACTGATCTTGGAAGCCTGTGTCTCGGTGAGTAAAAAACTAGACCATGTCTTTTCATTTCTTCAGGGAGAAAGAGATTAGAGCTGCTGAAGAAAGACTGCTGGAGAAGGATATACCAAGAACTGCGGATGAGTTTGAGAAACTCCTTCGAAGCTCTCCTAATAGTAGTTTCATTTGGATAAAGTACATGGCCTTCTTGCTTAACACTGTTGATGTAGAGAAAGCTCGTGCAGTTGCGGAAAGGTACAATCTTGTTCAAAACTGGTTATTTCCATTCATACGGGAAAGACAGAATAATACTCCAGTAATTCTAGACGCCAGTTTATAAAAGAATAAGCATATTATATATCAGATAAGCAGGCAGTTTATTTTCCTCAAGCACTGCTTCTATTTGTTCCTGAAGTAAATTTCTGACTGCAGCCCATCTTTCTTCTTTATTGCAGGGCTCTGAGAACAATAAGTTTCCGAGAAGAGACTGAGAAGCTCAATATCTGGGTAGCCTACTTCAATTTGGAAAACCAGTATGGAATTCCCCCAGAGGTAGTATGTGACGCAGTTTTTTTTTTTTTTTTTTTTTTGTTTCTCTGCTGTTTGTAAGATCAATCGTCGGGAAACTTAAAAGTTCAAAATGACAACCACAGGAGGCTGTGAAGAAATTGTTCCACCGTGCCCTGCAAGTTTGTGATTCCAAGAAGGTCCACCTGGCACTATTGGGAATGTATGAAAGGACTGAACAGAATGAGCTGGCTGACGAGCTTCTTGACAAAATGCTCAAGAAGTTTAAGCAATCATGCAAGGTTCATATCCAGGAAATCCTTTTCATTGTTTGCATCGATTCATTTCCTAAATTCCTTTGACAATACTCGAACAACACCTTTATTGTGTAATCTGTAGGTTTGGTTAATTAGAATGCGGAGGGTCATGAACCAAGAAGAAGAAAAGGTTCAGTCAGTAGTACAAAGAGCTATATTGAACCTTCCCCGGCATAAGCACATAAAGTTTATCCGTCAAGCTGCTCTCCTTGAGTTCAAAAATGGCCTTCCTGATAGAGGCCGTAATATGTTTGAAGGAGTTTTGAGGGAGTACCCGAAGAGAACTGACTTGTGGAGCATTTATATAGACCAAGTAAGATTCTTCTTGATGTCTTTCTAATCAAAATAATATTTTTGTGGGTCTCCTTTTGGTACTATGTAACATTTTCCTTTCCATTTGCAGGAAATCAAACTTGGAGATTCAGATGTTATCCGCTCATTGTTCGAGAGAGCAATTACATTAAGTCTCGCGCCTAAAAAGATGACAGTAAGTCATCATCTCTACCAATTGGCATGACAAATCACTCTTTTGTGGCTTTACCGTTGATCCTTATCACCACATTACCTCAATCTGCAGTTCTTGTTCAAGAAATATCTCGAGTATGAGAAGTCTATGGGCGACGAAGAGAAAATTGAGGCTGTGAAGCAGAAAGCACTGGACTATGCGCGATCTGAACTGGTATAGTAACCACTTCGGTGGATTTACAAACTCACTGGTTCCATCTGCATCAGCAGTACAGGTGTGTTTGAAGTCGAAAATTCTGCTCTTTGTGAAGATGCAGTATCCCAGACATTTTATTATGATCTGTGCTAGGCGATTTGAGTATGGAGAATTGTCCAGTGGGATTTTTGCTAGTTTTTTGCCCACATTTCGCTGATCTTGTATCGTGTAGAATCTGTATCCTTTACATACCGGGATCGAGGCCATTGTAAACTAAATTTATTACTGTTCGCCTTCATCTTATTGATGTAAACATTTTCTGTCAAGCTCATGCTAAAACTTCTCACTGAAGGGTCCAAACCATTGTTCTGTCATTAATAATAAATCAAGGTTACACAATCTTGAAATCGAAAGAATTTGTTGTAATTGTAAGGATCAATTTCTTTTAATGTTGGCAGTTAACAATCAGCTAATTATACAAAGAAGAGCTGGATGGTATTATAACAATAATAATTATGATTTTGTTCCCACCATTCGAATTCAGAGATTGACTTTGAGACGATTTGATGATGGAAAGAGATTCAGTGGTGCGTGAGCCAAGATTCTGATTCCGCTCAAGATAGAATAGAATATAGAGTGGAAAAGTTGTTTTTCGTCTTCATCCCACAAATTGTCAACTTGTATGGTGTTTTCACGTGACGTCAACACGGCACAGTTTGTTTCTTTGTTTCCTTCCTATTGGAAAGAACTCATGATAAAAGTTCAATTCTCCTAGTGCCATGGATTCTTTTATTATGGATTTGATTGTACAAGGAAGCACTCTTTCCTATCTAAGTTGGTGAGAGCAGCATGGTTCGTGTTTAGTCATTTTAATTATCCGATTCATATACTTTAAGTTTTAAAATAGTAAAATGTTAAACTAAAAAAAATCTTCCAAACAATTAGACGGCTTGTTTATAATCCGCTCAGATCGGGAATGCTAAAATTTTAAGTAAAAATCCAACTGAACACTAAAAAATTATATAACTTATTAAAATTCAAGCAAATAAATCAAATTTGAAAACATCAAAATGCACAGAATTTGTTGTTTGGATCTTGATGAAGTGTAATTTGCTTCAACATATATCTAGTATTTTTCATAAACATTTGTCGCTAAAGATGTTATTCATTATAAACTAATGCATCCATAATTTATTATTCTTATGAAAATGTATGGACACAAAATAACAAACAATGTGAACCATAGCCTACACTAAATAGATAAATATGGCAAAGTATCCCTTGCAAATATGCTTGTATACAACATAAATACATTTTGGATACGAACACTCAAGACAATAGTTGCAACATGGTTAGGGCCGGGTATCTACTGCTTGCATAACACGAAACTTGCAGTTAATCTAAGAAAGGTGTGTTCCACAAAAGAAAACCTTCACCCAACTTTAAACCTTAATTTTCTCGATAAATACGGGTGATTTGGGTTGGGTTGGACGGGTGGGTCACGTTACGGTTATTTTTGTTCACCCCTAGCTTGAATGAGCTCCGCTATTATGCACATCAACATCGGTGCTCGATTACCAAAAAAAATCATTTATGATACAAACTGAATTTGTACATTTAGCGTTATGGTACAATGCTTTTCCTTACATATATTTTTCATACAAATTTCTTTATGATAGAAACTAAACATGTATCTTAATATTAAGCTACAGATTCAATATGTAACTATACATTTTTTGTACAAATTCTTTATAAATACAAATTTAATTTGAATTTTCATTAGGACACAAATTCGATCTTATACACAAAAAAATAAACATCTACGCTTATCAGCATTGTAAAATTCCTCCCTTAGCTATTCTTTCTTATATTGAGACGTCGCATCCTATGTTCATGAACCTTGTGAATTTCACGTGCTCAGATTTGAGTTGAAGGAGCTGCTGGTTATGGGCCTATTAAGCATCTTTTAATATTTTTAATTTTTATGGACCTATTAAACCATAATTAATAATTTCTTAAAAGTATTGTCTTGTGGTAAGGTCGTCACTATTTGGATTTTGGAGTATTTATTTGGCATGATCTGCTTAAACATAGCTTAAAATTTGTGACTTCTTAACATTTTCACTCTGTTTGATATAAGCACACACTCATTACCTTTTCTATGTCTTACCCATGGCTACATATAAATTGACCTCCAATATATAATGTCTTATCAGTTATCCCTTGTACTTGTTAATTTCCTAAGGAGTTTATGATTCATGTTGGATCAAGCTATAACTTGGGGCACAAGGCATTGAGCCACACAAATATATCAATACTCTTCTGCGGCCACTGTCAATAACTCGAGTTGTTGTGACTTGTGAGAGGTTCAATAATGAATTTTATACCACATACTAACACGCACCCTCAAACGAAAACCATTCATATAAGATTGAAGTTTGCATAGACATCAGACACCAAGTGCTTACCAGTGAGAATTACAGAAATTCGAACAGAAGACCTCACGATCACACAGCCGACACCGACTCACAACAAAGAAGGACTACATTTCTTAATCCCACTAATCAAATGCAACTTCTTCAAAGCCTTGAGGAGCAAGCGGTGAGCCGTGAGCTGTGGGAAATGCCCTTGAGCCTTGAGGAACTGAACCTTTGCAGCTCCACCAAGGTTCTTTTGCATGTAATGTCCCACAAACTCTGGGACAAATAAGTCTTCTCTAGATTGGATCACAGAGCAAGGCACTGTAACTTCAGGTAAAACCTTTCTCAGGTCCCCTAGAAACACAGCCTTAGCAACATCTACAGCTACCTTAGGGTTCATCCTCCCTAAGCTCTGCTCAAACTCTGCTATGGCTTCCTTGTCACTCACGGTAACTGCTGCTGGTGCGAAATTGCGAACCCAGTTCGAGTAGTTCTTCTCCATGGTGTTGAAGAGGTTGTTGAGCTGTGGCATCTCAGACCCTCCATAGTAACCACTGTCATTGAGATACCTGCAAACCAAAAGCCAAAAGAAAGGCACAATCAGTTGCCTTGTACTGCAAGATTTCTCAACTCTTCCCTTATTTTTTTAATTTACCTTGGGGAGCCACTGAGCAAGATGAGGTGTTGGAAAAGGTCTGGCCTTTCTGTTGCAGCAATGGCACCAATCATGGCTGACATGGAGTGACCAAGGTAGACAGTGTTCTTGAGCTGAAGCTCGTCAAGAAGGTTGACAAGGTCTTGTGAGTAGCCATGGAGGGTTGAGTACTTGTCTGGTTTGTAGAAATCTGGGGTGACATTTGGTGAGAAGGCCAAGTCAAAAGTGAGAACCTTGAAGCAACAAACAAGGTAAGGAAGGAGGAGGTGCCAAACATTCTGATCCAACCCATAGCCATAGGAAAGGACCAAGGTTTGAGTTCCATTTCCATGGATGTTGGCATTTAGAGTTGCAGCAAGGCCTCCATAGGGTACATAGGTCATAGAATCCATTGATGTTTTTGCTGAAGGGGAGAGAGACAGAAGGAATGAAGGTGGGGGGGGGGGGGGGGGGGGGGGGGGGGGGGAGAAGAGATAGAGTAATAAAAGATAAAAGCTCTGTTTGTGGTTTCAATGGTTTGGTTTGGGATAGGATATATATAGCTCTCTTGGCTTTCATAAAGAAGAGGGGGATGTCATAAAGAAACAATTTCCAGAAGAGTTCAACAAAAGGTTTTTTTTTTAAGTCAAAACCTAGTGATTAAGACATCAGAAGGATTGGGAAATTTTTGTGATTGAAAATTTGGGTTTCCAAGGATTTTCATTGGTTTGTCTTATGTAGTGTAAGGGGTTTTGGCCTGCAAATTGCAGTGAACTCAGGCACCAAGGACTGTTTCTTTGAAAACTCAGCTGTGATATTAACCTAATAACTAACAAAGTGTTTGATTTCTGGCATTATCTTCTTGGACCCTTGAGCTTGGAACCATATGACTTTGACTTTGGGAGGAGCCAATCCATGCTTCACAATTTCAAGCAGTGATCTGTTAATCAAATGATTAACCACTAAGTCTTTGGTTGTAAATGGAAGATTTGTTTACAAACCTAAGACTTGGCTTGAAATACTAATAATATGCATAATACACAAGGGGGTGTTGCTGTTACTATGGCATGCCATATTGGGCAGGGAAAGAATGGTTGCTAAAAAGAATTAAGAAGTGCCAACTAATGTGGACAATGACCTCTTTCTCTTCCCTGGAAGTTAAAAAGTTTGAATTGGTAAGATTAGAGTCGTAACCGATACCCATTACTAATGCAACAAATTATCAGAACTTCGAAGTTAAACGAGTTTGAACTTGAATAGTACTAAAATAAATGACCTATTGAGAAAAGCTAGTATTAGTATTAGGGGAAAAAAAGATTGCAGCCATATGATAGAACCTGAGATTAGGGTTCTATCGAGAATTGGAGATTTAGGGATTAAGAACAGAATTAGGGATTTGAGAAGAGAAAGATAGAGAATCGGCCTAGGCCTTTAGAGGGATTGGGAACGAGAATTGAGAGGGTTGGGAGAATAGGATTTTGGAGAGTTTTCTTATTATTCTTCTTGACTGATTATGAATGAAGCACCAATTACATATTTATAGCGAAAGACTAGAAAAATCTAATAGACTATCCTAATATGACTCAATGACTACTACCATATCTAATAATATCCTAAATATATTAATATTGATAATTATGGTTAACCTAAAAAGTAGGTTTCCATCACCATAGCCTAAAATACTTAGAAGGTAGAGAAACTCTTGTGGGCTTTGGGATGATGAAATTGTCTATCTATCTTTCTATATAGGTCCTTTTAATTTGAGTATTGATCTATAGATTTCAAACCATTCAAACATTCTAATTTTTTTGGATTATTTGAAAAAAATTAAATTGTTTATTGATCTGTAGCTCTGAATCGGGTTACGAAGGACGAGATTCGGGTCAGCCTCGAGTCTTGATATTTAATTATTATTGTTATATGTTTGAGTTATTTTCCAAAGTACTATTTCAGAATTGAGTCATTGTTATTTGGATTTATGAAAGAAAAATATTATAATCTCTAATTCACCACCCTATTTTTTTCTCTCTCACTTTTTCTGCCATTTCCCCCCAGATTCCTTCTCAATTCTGGCATTATGCTTCCAATCCCTAATTTATGTTCTCAAGTCCTGATTTCCTTACCCTAATCTAACGATTCCCATCTATGATGTGGGGTAAAACATGTGTTGATTAGTTCATCAAGTTACTTTCAGTATTATGATGGGGTGGATGCCCTAAAGACCATTTAGCATCTACGGCTAACATGGGAAACGGTTCCTTCACCAGAGTTGAGTTATGAACGATCAACTATGAAAATGGGTTGAACGTGAACAACAAACTCTGATTGCTTGAGGGTTGGTTGGAGGGGAATAACTGCAAGTTCAACAATTTTGGTGGGAGCAATGAATTCGTTTGGTATCCATTGGCTTTTGAGCAAGGTTGTTAAACTCCTGTCGAATACTCGGTTGGACAAGGTCCGACCCGAGTCGAGTTTCAAAACAGCTTCCAGAAAGTCCCCCGGTCCGACCCCTAAAAGGGAGAAAAAAGAGGGGAAGAGAGGAAGAGGAACGAAGGGAAGGAGATGGTGGGTGGATCATAGAGGTTAGGTAGATTTATTTTGTGGAAAATAAGATTTTAATAGATATATGTAAGATAAATTTTATTTCAATCATTAAATCTTTAATTACTACCTTATTTGTATGTTTATTTAGAAAAAGTCTAAAACGGCTCAAACCGAACAGACCCCAATCAGACCATTAAATTTCATTCCCTTTCTTGACGGATTCAATAATTTAAATCGGTCTGACAACCTTGCTTTAGAGATAATGATTATGCTATCAATTGGGCAAGAAAGGGGATGCTGCCTTTCTGAATTAATGGCCACTGCCTTTATGAAATAATGACAAGGGTACACACTTGGTTCATATGGAGACCAGACTTTTGACATTTATTTCCAAGCAACTAACCCTTTGCCTGCCGACTTCCCTTCTTTATCACCTTGTTTCTTTGGTTGTCAATACCCATCCCAAGCAAAAGTTGCCACTTGCCCTAGCCCAAAATATCTGCCAAACCCCTAATCCACAGACACCAATAGTTACCGCGGAGTGTAAGAGTTTCCATCACAAGTCACATCAAACTACCAGTTATGGAGCTACTTAAATCATCAACCAACTTCTAGACGATAGTACTTCAATCCAAGATGATATCTCAATTCTCAAACACGATTTTTGGAGATTCGAAGCAGAATGTAAGAGGGCTATCCTCCGCTTCCATGAGGATAGGTTTGGTTTTCGCTGGCAATGATGTTGAAACTCGATCAACCTAGTTCTCCGAACTCTCAAACTATACGAAACATCTCAATCACTGATGAGGCAGGTGGTGCCAACCTATCACCATCCAGTATTTTCGGAAGAGATGGTGAGAAGGGCATAGCGAGCCATTTGCTGAAGAAGAATATGCTATAATTACACATGAAGGGCATAGCGAGCCATTTGCTGAGAAGGGCATAGAACTTATCTGAAAACACTTAAACATATTTGGCGGATCGTTTGCTTGAGGGTTTTGATGATGGATTCGATCATGAAAATCAATTCATCATGGACTTGAACGAAAATTCATCGTTTGCTTTAGGGAATTAGGAAGTTGAAATCTGCATGGGCTTGAAATTTTAATCTCTTGAGGTGGGATTTGGATGATGGATTAAAAATTTAAAATCTATAATGGTAGTTTACCCTTCTACTCTTGCTTATTTTTTTTAATTACAAATTTGTCTTCCTATTTATTTCAATGGGTTTGCAACTATAAATGTTTATAATGTCCTATTTTATTTAAATATGAGAATTTATCATTTCATTTGTAATGTCGTATTTTATTTAAATAATGAATGTGTATGTGATTTGTTGGATTCTACTCTAAACAACTTATGTTCATCTTGTGCATTAATATTTGATTGACTGTCGGATTCCAAAATCGGGGAGTTAGCAAGACAATGATGAGTTGTAGCAATAAGTCTAGCAGCTGGTTGCAATTTATACATAATATATTGTATACATTATTAGATGTATCATTGAATTGTTAAGTAGTGTCAAATTGTGATACATTTCTATATTTGTAGTTGAATTATTAGTCTACAGAGTAATGGTAAATATTAAAATTTCTTTGTATGTATTGAATTTGTTTTTAATGAAACATTTGGATTATAATATAGAAATATAATTAGATAAGGGTAACAAGATAATTTGTATTCCATATCCATAAATCTAATAAAATAAAATTGATAATGCCACCAAATTCATCATATATCCATGGTTTTTCAAAACCCTTATTTTTCAAATTTATGAAGCAAACGAACTGTAAATAAATTTATTGTTATATCTAAAAGTTGTTTCTATTGAGGTCATATTAGTTGTTATTATAATTGCATTCTAAAGAGTCTATAACCAAATTTTACCAGGCTTACTTCATACATATTTCTCACTCTTCGTTTTTCCCTTCGTTTTTCCATAGCTCATACCCGAAATCTTGTATTAACAACTCTGACATGTCACATTATGTCTCAGCATTATGTCTCAGCATTATTTTTCTACTTTCATCTAAACCTTAACATTGATATTATACTAAACAGAACCTAATATATTAACTAAACACAGAAAAGGGTTAACTTCCATGACTTCTCAAGATTATCAGTGCTATGGTTGTAAATCTAGTGTTACAACAATACTGCTACCACAAGAGGAATGAAACGGTACTAAACGGTCCAAAGCGACCCGAATCCATATTGAGTTTTGCCCCAGTCACCTTGACTTTCTTCCCATCTCCACCCTTCTTCTCCTTCGACCATCTTTCTTTCCTGGGTTCTTTTTTTTTTTTTGCTTTTTACCTCCGTTTCCTTCTTCGCTCTGTATGTTTTTCCGGCCATGTCTTGGCTCTCTCTTCCCCTTTGTGGTTTTCCTTTGCCCCTCTTTGTGGGTTGATTTTGTTGTCCTCCGATTTGGTTTTCAGATCTGGAGATGCATGTCCCGTTCAAGATGCGATAGAGGTTGGATCTGACAGATCCGACTTGTCTTCTCCTCTCCTCTTCTTTGGTCTACCTCCTTGTTTTGCCTTGCAGTTCTTGGCGATCCGGAGATGCAGCCCTTGGCGAGGACCCGGATAGGAGAGCTTGAAGACTGGTGTATTCTAACTCGCTGCCTCCGTCGGCCGTCCGGTTGTTCTGCTCGGTTCTCGTGGTTATCGGCGAGATGTGCATGGTGATCGGCTCGGGACGAGATGTTTCGGTGGTTGTTTCCTCCTCATCTTGCCTTCTGGGTCTGGTGGGTACCCAAACCAGTGCTTGGCTTACGGCGACGCTCAAAGGATGGGTGGCGGCGATTTGTCGGGAGCGGTGGTGGTGCTTGCCGCGGCGGTGGAGGTTCAGAGGGGGCACTTTGGCGGCTAGGGTTTGGGAAAGGCTCTTTCTTGTTTTGGCTGTGGGCTCGGACCCTATTGGGCTTATGAGTTTGTCTTCGAGCCTTGTTGTTTGGGCTTTTCTTTTCCTTTCTGCTTTTGTTTGCTTGTACACTTCCTTTGTGGGCTCAGCCCAGTCGTTTTATCCTAATGAACACATCTTCAAAAAAAAATAAAAGAAGCTGACCCATCTTTGATCTTTCTATTGACCGCTCGAACATGAAAAGATGATTCACAAAACCTAACAGAAAATCCCCCTACTATCTACCAGTATCAGTTTTTAACGCTACAAAATACAACGATACTAGTAGAATAACCAGACATTGCTGGCTACTGCTGCTACTTCAGGTCTTGGTCCTTGAAAAGGCTTCTTCCTTTGCTCGTATTGTCCGTATGTTTGCATGGAGTCTTCAAAATCACTGCAGTAGCAGGAAATTCTCAGCTGATACAACAGTTAACTCGCACAGAAGCACTTTGAAGGGCAAGAAGTCGGCTTCTGTGGGCCTACTGTCCCTCTAATGTTCCGACCGCCTCCTTGAGAAGTTTCTGTGCCTCTTCTCTCCTCCTGCGCGGGTGAATTCAAGCAATTAAGGCTACGTTCGATCCCAAACAGAATATGGCCTTTGCAATGTGTTGACAACAAGATAGACTTAGAGAAAAACAGGTTGTTTGTACTATACTATGTGGCAGCTACATAGATCATCAGGCTTTGAACCAAAAGCTTCGAGGTCAATAGGATCATAATGAAGCGGCAAGTGAGGAATCCAAGTTCAAATTAAATTGGTGACCTTAATGCGGGACCTAAGCATCATCAGCAATCACTTGCAAACATCACGAACGGCTCTCAATAGAAGCAGTAGGGATTGTGGATGTGGAAGTTCCAAGTATAAAACACTTGCAAAAGGTAAGTAGAATGCAATATAAACTTGTTGCATCTACCATGGCAGTTGGAATAAATCCAGGTAAGTTTTAACAGTCCAATCGAGGAACAAATTTCAGGATAATCAAGATACCGTCAGCAAAACTAACACTCCTAACAGGTTGACTCTAGAGTGCAGACAAACTGAACAGCTAAAGTAACAGTTGAAAAGTTGAGTTGAGTTATTTTAAGACCCTTCAGAGACAGTAGCACTTCACATTACATACCTCTTAATATCCTCCACTGCCTGCTTACGCCGTTGAATCTGAAGCTCTAGAATGTGAATTAAGGTGGCTCTTGCCTAGGGAAAACAAGAAAAAGAAGAAGAGCAAACATATCCATATTTTCAGGTTGTAGACCAGAAGACAAACAAGATGTGTCAAAAACAAACGCTGGGGAAATCAAATGCACCCTAACCTGATGAGGCCGCAACGAATTGAGAAGGTGATGCAAATTCTTAAATATCAGGGATATGTCTTCCACTCTCCTTGCATACTGTGAAGGTCTCTCAACAAGAACATCAGCAAGCTCTAAAATGTGCAGCTGCAATTCTCTATTTAGTGATCTCAATTCCTTCTTGAAATCTAAACAGATGTAGACAATAATCAGAAGAACCATCACCAGAACAACGAAAAAAGTTCCTGACTTGAGGTAAACTACAAATGCACAGCAATTGCACAGATAAGAAGAAGAAAAAAAAAAGAACAAGGACGGTGCATATAACATACCAACATTAGGTCCCTTAGGATACAGCTGCCGCACCCCCTGATCTTCCAAGCTTGGAATCACATCATCAGTCTGCAACAAAGGCATCAAGAAGTGAGGATAAAAAGAAAGTCTGCATAAACAAAACCTTCTATTGATCATTTTCCACAAGAAATTTTTTGAACCACTTAAGCCTATATCGAAAGAGAGAGATCTTACAGTGTAATTGCCCCCATAACATAAATATGTCCCCTCAACTGGAGGGGGTGGCTCCGGTGCGGACTTAGGATCCTGCAAGTAATCTTTGTACAGCCTGTAATACGGCGGAGGTGGCGGATAGGTAGCTGCTGCCATAGCAAGCTCCTACTAGAAGTCCTTCCTAGACAATCAACCAGGAGGGTGACACTCTCCGGCGAGGAAAACTGGTCACCAACCGCCCACTAAGATAGCCTGCATATTAGCAAAAATTGCCATACAATCAAAACATTTGGTTTAAAACCCTAATTCGAATCAATCGCACCTCACAGAGCATTTAACTGCAGTTAGATACATAGAATCATATCCTCTGGAAGTACAGTTCATCTAGCAGATAAACATTCAACTGGCAATCATCACACAGCAACAACCCACCACTCCAACTAAAACAATCACTAACATACGGCCAAGAAACCGGAAGCCAACGAAAGAAGGAAAAGTGTTGCGTTCAATGACAGATTATGGAGAAAGAATAAAAGGAATCGAAGGACTGACCAAAACCCGGAGGCGATGGCAGAAGAGAAGCTGGACCGCCGGTGAGAATTCGACTAGAGCTGGTCGGCTGCGCTAGTCGCAGTCGGCAGGAGGAGCGCCGGTCGACAGGGGACTTCTTGGGTTTTGGTCGGAAGCGGGGCGGTGGTTCTGGAGCTCGAGGAAGGAAGGGATGGAAGGCGGCTAGGGGTTCTATAGGGAGGCGAAGGAGTGGATGGTGGTTTCTGGCGCTGGGTATTGGAGATCGAGGAAGAAGGAAAAGGACGCGGTCGCTTCTGGAGCGGTGAAGAAGGAATTGGGGGCTGGGGTCTCTGGATTTCGGGGAGAAAGAAGGAATGGCTGGACGGCGACGAGACGGGTTGGCTCTTGAGGGGAGGGAATGGATGATGGTTTCTGGCTCGGAGAGGAAGAAGAAGAAGAGATCTTGCTTGCGGCTGCTCTGAGATAAGAGAAAGAATGTCGAGGCGGAGCAGAGGGAGAGAGTGCAAGAAAGGTTGTCATTCGTCTGAGGTAAATGTCACATTTAGTCACTGTGGTTACTAAATCTTATTATGTTTAATTATTAAAAAAAATTAATATTAATTTTGGTCACTCAAATTGTTAAAATAGGTCATTTTAGTGAGAATAGATCATGTAAGTAACTGATAGGCCAGTAATTCCTTCCATTATCCCCACATGCCAGTCTTTTTTTTTTATCTAAACTAAATGCAAAAAGCAGTAAGGTAAAATTACACTTACCCCTATTTATTGTTAACGCTGACTTTTGACCGGACCACATCAGCGCCTCCTTCTCTCTCCTCGAAAAACCTTTAATTTTCCTTCTCTTAATCTTTAACCGACGATTTCTCATTCGTTTTAAGTCGAAATTTAATTTTTTCACAGTTAGATCAGATTAATTGTGCTCTTCAAAATGATATCCACTTTGATATTTTTTGGACATAAATTTTTTTTCCAGTTATTACCAGTCTATACCATATGGTATTGACTGGTATTAAATAAGACCACACAATATGGTATGAAAAAATTTGCCACATCAATATATATTTCGTTACCACCCAATACCATATGGTATAGTGTGGTAATATCAATATATATTTAAATACCACACAATACCATACATTACCATATGGTATAGTGTGGTAATATCAATATAATATTTCGTTACCACCCAATACCATATGATATAGAGTCATAATATCAATATATATTATCTAAAAGGAAAAAAATAGAAGGATGGAGAGAAAAAAAATCATCTTTTGTCGCCTCTCATTTCCTCTTCCGCAATCAAGAACACCAAAATAATGAGAAAAATTGAAATTGAAGCCAACGAGTTGATGAAGAGAAGAAATGCAATGCAAGAGAGTGGCTGCAATTTTTATTCGTCAATTGCTGGAGAGAAAAATGATAAGAAGAGAATGGAGCTAATATAGATTTGAAAAAGAGATTGGAAGAGAAAAAGGAAGAGAGAAGGAAGAGAGAAAGAATCTCAAAAGGAGATTGTGAGAGGAAAAGAAAGAGAGAAGAAAGAAAGAAATGAGAGTTGAAGAGTTCTCTCTCCTTTTTTTTAAAAGGTAGTCATTAAATGCAGGATAAAATAAAAAAATAATTAATATAGAAATGGACAAAAGTACCCTTTCTCATTCCATGTCCAGCCCCACCGCATGATTGCTCCACTCCTAGATCTACGGTTCCCATTTATTACTGACAGATCAGTAACCAAGTGGTTACTAACCCTATCCCATGCGATATTTAGTTATTTTTCGCTAGTCTCAGTCCAACTCTGGTCACTCGAATTACTGAAACATGTCACATTTAGTCACTCTTCGTTAGCTTCCGTCCAACACTGTTGTATTTTGAGAAATTTTGCACATCAGAAATTTGTCACATTATAACTCGTGTATTTTGAGAATTTTTTTTTAAGAATGTATTTATTTTGGGAAAAAAATCCTCACTAGGGCATCTTAGGATTATAACTTTGATTCGCACATCAGAACCAACTTCAACAAAAGCTAATCCTTACAAGGAATTAAGGGAAGCTGCAAAGTCTAGAAGTGAAAGAGCCCTCTACAACAGCTTAAAACTTGTCGCCAAATGAATTCCTTATTTTAGAACGTATAGTGTAAAAAAAATTATCCATTGAAAGTTTCCAAACACCATTTTCTCAAAACGCAGAGAAAGTTCTCATTTAGGAACTAACTCCAACTTTTATACATCTATATGTATATAGATAGTGTTCAGTAAATGGTCTTGGAAAGTCGCCCCTTTCCCTTCTTGCCATGTGTTGATATACTTTGTTGTAAATTGTTAGGCCTAATAATGGCAAACAGAAGCACTCATCCAAACTTAAAAAAATTGTGGTATGCAAACCCATGTTACCTTTATCTTATGGGTCGTTTGGATGAGGGATATGGGTGAGTGATTTCGCTCAAATCACTCGTTTGGGAAGGAGACTAAAAAAGAGAGATTTCAATGTCAAAGAATTTCAAAAACTTGCATATGTCAGATTTCAAAATAGCGGACCCCCCTCAAGTTTATCGAAATCTGACACATGCTTCTTAATTTATTCCCAACTTGTCTCTATACTTTTTACTTATTCCATGTTTACCCTCAAGTCATTGTAACTCCTTTTTTTTCTTTCTTTCTTTCTTCGATTTCTCCCTCTTAACCCTTTTTCCATCAAATCCCTCTCTCGAGAGGGAGCATAAGATGTCAAGTGAAACGATCAACAAATTCTTCTCCAATTCATACGATAAAAAGGATCTCACCGTCGAGAAAGGGGAAGAGTAGAGGGAGCAGTAGACGAGAAGGCAATAGAGGTCGTTTCGATTCTAAGGAAAGAAACATAGATTTTGCTTCACCGTATTAGTGCTCGTATGAATTGGAAAGTTCCTCCAGAAACTCGCCTCCAGGACGGGATTTCTGGACGATTGAGACAAACCCCAAAGTCATAGAGGAGAAGGGTAAAGAACCGACGAGGATGACATGGATCGCAACAACTACGACAAGGACGAGGGAGGACGAGGGAGAACAGATCCATCACTGTGGGTGATTTCAGACGAACAGATCACTCACGCTAAGTGTTGGCTCCGAATTTCGTCTTCTTTTTGCACGAGGACTTTTAGAGTGGCGGTGGTACTGAGCGATAGGTTAGGTTCCATGAGGGGCGGGGATGCTTGGAGCGACAACGATAATGGGTGAATAGGGAGGAAAACGACACGTGATGCAGAACACGGGTTACCGATTTATTGGGGTATGTCATATGTGAAGAAGATAAGGGCAATATAATGCTTTCAAAATTTCCATTAGAAATTAAAATCCTTGTTGAGCAAATATCAGTCCACTTTCAAATAAGTTTTTTTGGCAAAACATATGTTAAAACTACATGGGTTTTTAAAATAAGCGATTTAGACCCAAATCCCTCGTTTATACAATTCCTTATCCAAACGATCCCTTACATGAGATAATGATATGATCACAGAACCGGTGGACGCAATTATCATAGTCGTACAACCAAGAAGAGGGGTTAAAGATAAAACAAAATTCAAGTTCAATCTCATACATGGGAGAAGGCTCTATCAATATAGGGTAGAAGCTCGACCACGATCAAGGGGGATACTCGATTGATACAAAGCACAATTCACAAGCTGAAAGCTCAATGAACCAAGAATAAACTCAATAATATTCAATGCCAGCTCTAAAACTCAAGTCTAAGCCTTTATATAGTTCAAAGAAGAAAAACAAAGCTAATCAACAACCCGAAAAGGAAAAGAATCCTAAACACAAAAGGTAATTCCAGCTCGCCAGCTCCAATCCTGGTCGTCCTCCTTCACATCCCCGATCGGGAATTAATGCCCACCCGAACATGGGTTAGGATTAATAATAAAACATAATTGAAGTGAAATCTTACACCTTTAAGAAGGCTCTATCAATATAGGGTAAAAGATCAACCATAATCAAGGAAAATACTCGATTGATACAAAGCACAATTCACAAGTTGATAGCTCAATGAACCAAGAATAAAGTCAATAATCTTCAATGTATGCTCTAAAACTCGAGTCTAAGCCTTTAAATAGGCCAAAAAAACAAAAAAAAAACCTAATCAAAAACTCGAAAAGGAAAATAATCCTAAACACAAAAGGTAATTACAGCTTGTCAGCCCCGATCCCCGAACGGGGATTAATGCCCACCTGACTAGGGGGTCTCCTGCTCCAATTCCCTGGTTGACGCCTTGTGATCCTCGGTAGGGGAATTGGACCCTTCCTAGCTGGGGAATCACATCACTTCCTCCTTGCTGAAGAAGCTTTGTCCTCAAACGTTGTGTGTTCCTGCATGAAAGTTCATCACCATAATTTCCCAACTAAATTCTTCTCAGCACAGTCAACATGTGTCTTCGAGCCATAAGATGGGTTCCACTTCCATCCTCCGAATCCAAGCCACTTGCATTTCATTTCTCCCTTGCCCAATTCAGCTCCATTGTCATTGATATTTTCGGACTTCAGATGGCGACAATGGTTTGAGCAGAAACTTATGATCTCCTTGCTTGAACTAGTAGATATTATGTCTTCCGTCGTGAATAATTCCACGGTCATATTGCCATGGACGACCCAATAAGAGATGAGTAGCCTGCATTGGGGCAACGTAACACCAGACTTTATCTGCATACTCACAAATCTGAAATCGAACCTTGACCTTTTTGTTAACCTCGATGGATCCATAGTCGTTCAACTAGTGAAGATTGTAAGGTTGAGGATGCTTAAGGATACTCAATCCCAGCTGCTTGATTGCATCAAGACTCACAACATTTGTGCAGCTACCACCATCAATTACCACAGACAAAGCAGTTAAAATTGGGATTTTAAGTAAAATAAAAAATGGGGGTAAAATCGAAATCGTAAAATCGTAGGATTTTAAGGTTCATATAAAAACGAAGACGAAATGATATTAATAAGAAAAATACCAATAACATAAAAACACATAACAATTATAATGATAAGCTCTCAAGGATGATGTTCCAATTTATCAAGGTTAATGTTAAAAGGTGGTGAATCGATGTTATTTAATACACCGATGTGAATTGATGATGGTCGATGGTGGCTAGTGTGAGACAACTAGATGATGTTACTTATTTTGAAGGAAAAGAGGTGTTATTTTTTAAATTATGATAAAAATAAGTAAAATTAACTCATAGATTTGAATCGTAAAATCGTAAGATTTTAAGGATTTAAATCGTGAATAGTGTAGGATTTTAAGGTCCATAGATTTAATAGTGAAATCAGAATCGAGATAGGTAAGTAAAATCGTAAAATCGTAAGATTTTAGGATTTTAATTGGGATTTTGACTACTATGACCACATACAAAATTTTTCCATCCATCAGAAAATGGGTATGAAACAGATTATCTTGTTGTTCTTGATCAGCTAGAGCTTAATGATTGACTCCAAAAAACTTACATGTTGGAAGGGCTTCAATAGTGATGTGACCATCAACATCATAAGAATATATTTATGTCTCCATTGGCTTCTCTTCCTCCTCAGAAAAGTATTCTCTATCTCGTAGAACCAAAATTTTCTTGTTGAGACGCATTGGATGCTTCCAGCCGATCCTTCTGGTCTGACTTGAATGAAGGTAATAGTGTATCTATATGTTAGCTTGACTCCTTCGGGCCTGAAATGATTCATAGTGGTCTCGCCCATATTTTCTGAAATCGGTTTAGTTGAAGGTGGATACCTTCTTCCAGAGCTAACCTTCAGCTGCTTCTCCACCTTAATGGCTAGATGAACCACTTCCTCCAGCTCCACAAATTGACAAAGCTCAACTTCGTGCCTAAATTCCCAAATGAGGCCATCTAAAAATCAAGAAGTTTTAGCTTCTTTATCTTCTCTCATGTCTATACTCATAAAGACAAAGCTCAACGGAAATGAAGTGCAATCTCACACCTGGGAGAAGGCTCTATCAATAATAAACTCAATACTCTTCAATGTTTGCTCTAAAGAGTCTAAGCCTTTAATAGGCCAAAGAAACAAAAACTAATAAAAAAACCCAAAAAGGAAAAGAATCATAAACAAAAAAGGTAACTACAGCTCGTCAACCCAGATCCCCGATCATCCTCCTTCCTTTCCCCGATTAGGGATTAATGCCCACCTGACCGGGGGGTCTCCTGCTCCTATTCCCTGGTCGCCGCTTTGCCATCTTCGGGTGCGGAATTGGACTTTCCTGGCCCGGGGAAACACATAAGATAAAGAAAGAGAGGAAAGTTTTATTAAAGAGCACCTTGTTAGATATCACTCAATCTCAATGTTAAAAGGACTACACAAACTTTCAAGTTTACCATCTTCCTTAAGAGAATTTTGACCACTGCTCCATTTTACTTGAGACAAGAGGAAACAAGTTTTGATATCGAGTGGGGATGGTATTTTAAAGTGGAGTCTTTTTGGCACAAAGATCCTAAGTGTAAGGATCTTATTGAAAAAAACTTGTGAGGGTCAAAAGGAGCTAATATGCTAAATATCCTAAAAATTGTGAGAGAGATCTCTTTGCGTGCAACAAACAAAAGGTTGGGAACATTTGAGGTAGATTGAAAAAAATCAAATGGACCTCAACAACATGCTAAAGATGTCAAAGAAAAAAAATATCGCAATGCTCAGACTCATAGAAACCAAAAAGCAAGACCCTAACTAGAAGGAAGAACTGGTATGGAAGCAAAGACCGAGATCAAATTGGCTTAAACGTGGTGACCAAAATACTAATTCTTTCATGCCAAAACCACAACTAGATGAAACAAAACATCATTGCCAAAATGTTTCCAAGGATCATGAGGATGTTTTTAACTGCATTCATAATTATCTAATTCAATTTTTTAGGATTGGCTTTCCGAAGACATGCTTCCGACCATCAAGGTAAGTTACACTAGGATCACCCTCATTGTAAAAGTCAATAGGCCGAATACTCATGAAGAGTTCAGACCTAGTGGCTGATAGTTTATGTCATGTTCTCTACAAGTGACTCGCTACTCAATCAGCTCTTCTCCAAGCTCAAGCCGGGCTCCAATGGTGATGGAGATCGATCTAGGCACTTGAAGAATCAGGTTCGTCACTTTCTCTTTCTAGGTATCCACTTTTTCTCTCTAAAACTCGGTTCCCTTCTCATTTGGCTTGCAATTGGGTTAAAACCCAGAAATTCCCGACCACACGGCCGTGTGGCTTTCCAGTCTGCCCGTGTGGATGTTAAAACACGGCGTTTCGATTAGTGGGCTTTCAGGCATGCTGCACGGCCAGGGCCACACGGCCGTGTGGATTTTGAGGCTGCCCGTGTGAGCTCCCTAGACTTTCCACACAGCCACAAGAGGTCCCTTACATGGCCAGTGTGGCTTGCCCGTGCAAATTGGTGCCACACGTCCAAGTCACATGGCCGTGTGGGTTTTAGGCGTGCCCGTGTGAGTTCCTCAGCTTCTCGCCAAACGTCCAATCTTCGTCCAATCGACCCCGAACTCGTTCCCAAGCTTTCATTCACGTACTAGGACCTGAAATATCACAAACAAGAATAACCTAGCGTGAAATCGGCCTAAAACACGAGAAATAAGACTCAAACGGTACAAGAATGGTGGACAAAAACATGTGTATATATCAAGTCATCAAATTCCCCCACACTTAACCGTTTGCTTGTCCCCAAGCAAACCTAACTCAAACCAATGCAACTCTCCAGACCTCTATAGCAACAAACAACCCGGATCGTCGATAGAGGATTTCCTAGATCATATAGCAGCTTACGAGGTCAACTGGTCTTCTAAGACGTCCCCTATCTCTCTCAATGCGAGTACTAGACTCAAGCCAGGATCATGAGAAGAAGTAGAAGTAAGACAGCCAGTTCATGGATGAAGGGACTCACACCATTCACAACCAAGGACTCGTTGTACCGGGGTGCTCTTTCACTTCATTTCACCGTTGGAACCCCTTTTTTCACTTTCATTTACATTTCTTTCTCTCTTTTTTTTTTCATTTGGCGGGGGTTACAACTGCAGTCTTTTGCACGGCCGACCCTTATTAGTCGAGCAAGATCAATTTCTGTACATCTGGCACTCGCCAAAGTATTTCTTTTTACTCATTTTCATCAACTCGTGTGGAGGGTCAATGAAATTAAGGGGGGGTCGGAAGCTCTATCCGTGCCCTTAAAAACACATCCTCAAGTAGGCAAACCGTTCAACGGGTGAAAATTTTACTTGTACTAGAGATAGTTTAGCTTCATCTTGTAGGAGTACCCCACTAAGGATCACTAAAATCTCTTCCAAAACCCGATTTTTGTGCAATGAACGATGCCACACACGTTGGGCCTACCCCATGTTTAAGATTTCAATGATTTCTACATGGAGGACCAACTGCTTTTCATTTCCCATATGAGCACCCTGTTCGATACGCGAGTCCATAACACAATCTAAACAGAGTCTCCATTACCACATGAATTCAACGGTCTTAGCTCCACTAATTCACAAAATCAACTGACACAATAGAGAGCTAGATAGGAAAAATCTTATACTTCAACATACTCCATAGTGCTACACTACCTCCCTAGGTTGCATATTACTATAGAAACTGTCAATTCAAAGCATACTGAGCAGGCAATTTGCAAGGAGACACGTACTTGGAGCCCTCAAATCGAAATTTGGACAATGGACTAGGCTCTAAGCACACAAACAGATCTAATGCAGTCAAAAGAGAAACATCCCCCCCCCCACTTAATTTCGACATTGCCCTCAATGGAGAAGAGGGAAGGATAAGAGGAACGATGTTACCGGTGTGCACGGACGCATGAGACTGGAAGGGGACCAGTCTGAGTGAAAAGGACTGGAAAGGGGACCAGTCGGCGGGAAACATATGGAACGACGGAACAGTTCTGCACGAAGGGAACATAAAGAACACACTAGCACACTGTGCGTTAGGTATCAGAGTTAGCCCAGATGGCCACAAAATAGACAATCCATAAAAGAAAGAAAAAAAACAAAAACAAACGACAGACGCAGTTCAAGCTCCGCACACACATGGAGCAAACACGAAAAGTCTTAAACAAAAACACACTCAGAGGGGCGACGAGTACAGACTACTCGTCGCTAAGGTTGTCAAAGTCGATGTCGTCCATGAAGGCATCATCACCGGCGGGCGGGGGTGGAAGGGGAGAGTCCTCCCAGGGAGTTGTCCAGACTGGCTGCTCGCCTGGTATCAGCTGGAGCAGGTGTTGCTGGACCTCCTGCATACGCCGAGACCGAGCCCTCTCCCTCTCGATGTGAGTAAGGATCACCCCCTGCTGAGCCTCCATACGGTCGAGGCGCTCAGTATATGCAGCCATCCGGGTATTATACTCGGCCTGGTGAGCCAAGTACTGCTGCTGGAACTGGAGATGATGGTCGAGGAGTTGCTGATTCTGGAGGCTCAGCTGCTGGAACTGGTGAGTGAAGTAGTCTTGGGATGGAAAAGTGGAACTGCTACCCCCGTACTCGAAGGTGGTCGGGCGGGGGGCAACAGGAAATCCCTCGATCCACTTGATGCCGCGCTCGACTCGCAGCAGGTGCATATGCTGGATCGTTTCTTCGCCGAAGACACTAGTGCCCCCCTGCTCTGTGCAACCCTGTAGTGGGATCTGGAAGTAGGTGGCCAGGCGGGTAATGAGGGGGGTGCAGTAGAGGGTCACCAGTTGTGTAGCACTCTTGTCCAGAGTCCTGGCCACCACAGAACCCAGGTGGAGAGGATGGTTCGCCGTGCGGATGGACTGGATGAAGTACATGGACCGCCTGGTTAGGGTGCTGGAACTGTCCCCAGGTGGAGTGTAGGACTTCGCCAGCATGTCGTGGAGAATGCGGTTATCGAGCTGCAGGGTGCTGGCCTTCGTCCGCCCCGCAAGGAAGGGACGCTGGGCAGGCTGAGCTAGGCGGGTGTACAGCACCTTGAAATTAACACCCTTTGGATTGTTGAGCTCGGTGACGTAGTCCATGTCATCATCCAGGCCGAGGTCGAGAGCGATCGCCAAATCGTGGTAGCTCATGGAGCGGGGCTCACCGCCGAGCCTGAACTTGACAGCTTCACCGTCCGCCCAGTCTGTTGTATCTTTGTGGTTGAAGGTCGTATAGAACTCGAGCACCAGCTCGTGGTAGACCTTCTCTCGAATGGACAGCAGACGGCGCCATGGGCGGTTGGTGGCAATGGCGAGGAAGTGGTCGTAGAAATGCAGCTTCTCAAACTCCCTCCTGGACCAGTAGTGATGCTTCCCAAACGAAGAGGCCAGGACGAGCTTAAAGCGATCTTGGTGAGGGCCCCACTTCAAATCCTGGATGAACGGGTGCTTGAGGTTGGGTTTCGACATGGTCCTGCAAGAGAACAATCCAAAGTGGAGACAAAAGAGCCATAGAAAAGGTTAATCACACCCCCACACTTGGTAGCAGAAAACAACCGAACCATAGTTTCATCAATAGTTCGGGGGTCAATAACTCGAGCAAACAAGCACAATCTGGGTGGGGGGTGCACATCCACAATAAAGTTGGCAACTTAAGGTTCACATCCATAGCAAATACACCATCAAAGCACATCATTAAGGGCCCCAACCGGCTCCCACAAAATGGTATGAAAAACTGGCATTTCATCGAACACCTTGTGTGCACTTTTAAGTTAAGCATAGAATGGACAAATTCATAGCACACAAGGGGTCAATCAAGCATAAGCAACATTGCCCAACATAATCCACACATAAACCAAGCCTTCCCCTCAATCAATTGCACACAATTCACACATTTCAAAGGGATTATCTAAACATACACCCTAACACACAATTCTCCACAATTCACAAGGTAAAGGGCAAAATCAAACCTGAAGACACAAGTAGAGGTGTAGGGGATGATGAGGAGAAGGCAGGGGAAGGCAGTGGAAACCCGAAAAACGACCCGAAAATGCTCGTCGGAGCCTCGCCGGAGTCTCGCCGGAAATTGCCTCCGGCGACTAAAAAACGGTTCAAATCGCCTAAAAATCGAGGGATTGGCCGAAAATGAGGAGGGAAGGGTGGGTGTGGAGTTGGTTGGTGAAAAATCGACCAAAAATGATCGGAAAATCGCCAAAGAGGTGAAAGGGCGCGGTTTTCCGACGGGGGAGGAAATTCCGGCGAGGTGTTTTTAAAATTCTGGCCAACTGTGTGGGCCAATTTATAGGGCCAGGGTCGGCCACACGGCCGTGTGGACCGGGGGTTTTCCCGTGTGTGGCCGATGTAAAGTTCAGTGACTTAAGTCGATGTAAAATTTGATGACAGTGGAAGACAATTACTTCTTTCCGCCACTGCACAATAGTTGTATAAATCCATCTATTTCGTGATCCCAGATTCTTCTGATTTTCCCAAATCGCAAACTAGAGCGCCACGCAGCCAAAAATTAGCTTTCTCCTTCACCGACGAAAATGCCGTACTATTCCAGGGCAGATGCCGACGCCGTCGACGACTTCGACGAGTACGATCCAACGCCATACGGCGGCGGCTATGACATCCACTTGACCTATGGTCGCCCAATTCCCCCCAGCGACGACACCAGCTACCCAATGGGCCAATCCGCCTCCGACGAGATCGACTACGATCGCCCTCACTTCTCGTCCCAGTCGGAGCCCTCTGCCTACGGCGACGAGGCTCTGAACTCCGAGTACAGCAGCTACTCCCGCCCTAAGCCCCGACCTGGTCCCGCTTACGGCTTCCAGCCCGGCGGGGGCAGGCCTGCCGGTGAGTCCGAGCACGGATCTGGATACGGTGGGAGGACTGAGATCGGTGGTGGCGGCGGATATGGCGGGAGGACTGAGACCGAGGGCGGTGGATACGGCGGCGGGAGGACAGAGACTGAATACGGATCTGGCGGCGGCGGATATGGTGGAAGAACCGAATCTGAGCACGGATCGGGTTACGGGCGTAAGCAGGAGTCCGAGTATGGTGGATCGGGCTATGGGCGTAAACAGGAATCTGAATATGGATCCGAATACGGCCGGCAGCCGGAACCCGAGTACGGATCTGGCTATGGCCGTAAGGAGGAACCCGAATACGGCCGGCAGCCGGAATCCGAGTACGGATCTGGCTATGGCCGTAAGGAGGAACCCGAATACGGCCGGCAGCCGGAGCCTGAGTACGGATCTGGGTATGGCCGTAAGCAGGAATCCGGGTACGGTGGCAGGACTGAATCCGAATACGGGTCGGGTTATGGAGGGAGGACCGAGCCCGAGCACGGATCTGGTTACGGTCGCCAGACTGAATCATCAGAGTATGAAGGCGGTGGTGGGTCTGAATATGGAAGGCGAAAGCAGAGCTATGGAGAGGAAGGTGAAGGTTATGAGAGGCGCCAGGAGACGACTGAGTATGGCTCTGGAGGTTACCGCAGACAGGATAGCTCCGAGAAGCCTGCTTATGGGAGGCGCCGCAATGATGATGACGATGATGAGGAGAAGTCTCGCAGCCAGTATGGCTATGGTGGTGGTGAAGAAGAAGGCTATGGCCGCAAGAAATATGTAAGCTTTTCCCATACCCTTTTTCATTTGGCTGCTCGAGTAACTGTGTGTGGCTCTGATATAGGCATATTGCTAGTAGTAGTTCATCTATCTATAGTTTACTTTCCAATATGGAAGTTTCATTTCTGTTCGTTGCTGCTGTGACTGTTTTTCTACCACAAGGTGGAAGCTTTTTATGATATATATATATATCTTTGATGGATGGTTGAAATTTGGTTTTATGGTAATTGGAAGAACTTTGGAATGATCATTGGTGCTCGACGAGTTATGTGTAGATGGATATGGTTATTGACTGCATTTTCTGGGATGATCTTGATCAATCCACAGATGTAGCTTGAATGAAAATCTTGTTACAGAGCTTACTAACTGGTGTCTTGTGCATCGAACTTGCAGGGAGATAATGACTCTGAGGAGGATGACGACGATGATGATGAGAAGAAGAAGCATCGCTATAAGCATCAGCACCATCGCCGCAATGATGACGATGAATGATCGATTCATCAGCCCCTGTTCGGAGAACACTATGCCTGCCACTCTTATCTATCTACTACTAAATAACGAAGAGTGTTGAGGAGGCATGGTTATTATCTTGGATTGTGTGTCATGGAGTGTTCTGTACTTCTCTTCGTCATATCGGATTGTGCGTGTTGTTTTCTTTTCTTTTCTGAGCTTGTAAACCCTTATATCACTCTTATCATATCAAGCTCATGGGTTGGTCTGCTGCTTCCTACTTTTTCCTTCCAAACGAGTGTCTAAATATATGTATTATGAACGGTTTCGTATGGTCTATTTTGTGCTTAAATGCTTATGAACGGATCAACTAGTATTGTGCCATTTTATGTGCTGTAACATTGGATTTCAACTCAGACAGAATGGAGCGGGAGTAGAACAAGAAAGCCAGGATCTTGAAATGTAACCTCAATTGATGTTTTCCTACTAATGGAAATGTTAACACTTCGGCAAAGATGATATAATGTCTGTTGTTTGCCAAAAAAAGTAACCCGATTTGAATGTTTAGTTGTTGCCCATTTTACAGCAGCATCAGCAGTACAACAACAGGCAGCTAACTTCAGTAAAAAAAAATTGGGGAGCCGGTTGAGCATACAGAAAAAAGGGTGTAGCCTGAGTTTCAGAAACAGGTGAAAAGAGGGGTTGGGTCGCATAAGCTCTAGATTAGAGGGAAAATGAAGTACTCGGCGTAGAAAAGATTCCAAATGAACTGGTAGAACTCTGAGATTGCTTCCTGCACAAGAAATATATGAAGTAATCAATTAGGCTCCCAAGTAGCCACAAAAGATGCTTGCTGCATCGTAAGCCAGAGGCATGCTGACTGCTGTACCTTTGTATATTTCCTCTGTTCCAGCAGCCATGTCTGATATATCATCAACAACATCCATTAGAACAACAGACAAACAACCACCAGAAAGAATAACTGTCTATACCCTAAATAGCATGGTGGAGAAAGCACAAACAACATAAACATGACTGTAGAAGACTTGAACAGAATACCAGATGCGGGAAAAAAACCCAGATCAGATCATTAACTGTATTGGTAAATATTCCATAAAGAAATCAAAACAGGGCACCTGGAATATCAAACATGTTGCTAGGATGGTATGTACAGGTATCATTAAGCTACCCCTGAAAGCCTGCGAAAAGAGATGAGAACAGCATTATGTTCAGAAACATTTTCGGGAAAGAGAGAAATTTGGTATTTACATGTGATATTTTCAGTTTAATTGACATATAAACCCATCCATAAGTTCGAGTAAGCTTAATCTGCGGAGATTGTTTACCTGAGGGAAGTAAATAGCCGCCAATACAGCACTGATATAGTTCAACAGCAAGAGTCCAGAACCAAGGAATGCAATATTTCTAACGCCAAGTTTCGTTGCCAAAGTTGATATCTTAAATCTGCAGTGGTATACATGAGGCTGTATCATGATTACTATTTATTGATAAACAATATAATATTAGACTCGATTAGAGACTATGAGTAGGAGTTGGAAATAGAAGTGCAAATTTATGAGTAATCAGACTAAAAAGCTGTTTTCTGTAATTAAAAAGACTAAAAAGCTGTTCAAACTTCAAACTGAACTAGAGAAGTCATTACAAACGAATGACATATGACTCACTTGCGATCCCCTTCTACATCTGGAAGGTCCTTTGTTATAGCAATGACCAGAGCAAAAAGTGTCACAAAGGATGTAATGAATGCCACTGGGTAACTGCCAGATATATAGATTAAAGCACAATGTGAGACAAAAAGTATGACAAAATTGTAACTTCTGAAAACAGATGAAAAAATAGACTTCAACGAGTATATTAAATTCTCTGACAATGAATAAGAAAATGATTGACATAACAAGATATTAAGATGTATAAGGGTTCTAGTCCAAGTAGCAAAGTTCCAAAATGCCAAATAGGGTACACGATAAGCTGAAAGGGCATGTTGGCTTATTTCATGAAGCTCTAAAGCCTAATCTAAAGCAATCGTTAATAAGTTCATTCCTTCATTCTGTCAAATAAAGCTAACTCACCAAAACATATCATCTATTTAGTTTATTTTTCTTAACTCCATCACAAGCAGTGAGTAACTAAGAAATATATGCACCTCCATTCAAATGGAAGACCAAGGGCAGCTCTTGTGGCATGGTAGACACCAAAGTTGAGAAGAAAACCTCGTACCTGCAGGATTCCGAAGGTTGTTAGTTAGTTATTATGCCGAAGGGGAAAAGGTTAACAAAAGAGGGTATTAAAAGTGGAATGCCAGCTTATGGTTCCAGACAAAATTGGTGATGTTCAAGAACAAGATATTCAAATGAAGTAGTCACATCAAACACAACAGGGTAGTTAATGGAATACCGTTGCGATAATAAGAAATGCTGCAACTGCATATCTCTTCATTCTAAATGGAGGGACGGAATAGATGGTGCCCAGGAAAAGACCAAGGCAGTAAAGAGAAGTGATGAATGGACCAAAGTTCAGTCCAACAATGAGAACACCCGTCACTGCAAAAAGTATCACCAACATCCATGCAGTTGGGACTGAAAGATCCCCAGCAGCAATAGGTAAATAAGGTTTGTTAACCCTGCAAAATAAAGAGAGATAAACTAACACACTTCTAGCACAATGACACAGCAGAAATTTTAAGACACAAATAGTTTGAGCTTCTACGAGCAAGAAGAAGAGGAAATGTGGCCCATACTTATCTATTCCAATGTCGTAGATTTGATTGATGCCAACTATATATCCATTCCCACACAGTAGAGCAAGAAGGCCAGAGAATGCCTTTACCACAAGAGACCATTTTATAAGCTCTGGGTTCTCAATCAATGCTCTTGCCACCAAAGCACTGTTAACACATGAAATAATATATAGTAATATGAACAAGCAGAAGAACATGCACGAGAAGCTGGTGACAATTGCAAAAGCGCTAAATTACATGATATAACTACTTACGTGGACCCTAAAGCCGTTCCACGTATCGTATGGGGCCTCAGAAATCTCCAACATGCATCTTTGAAATTCGAGAACTTGGTTACTACATGATCAGACCCAGCTCCAACTTGACTGCAGGCCTGGTAGAACCCAGATTCCAATTACATGAGCCATGAGTCTCATGGAGATTTCAAGCAAGTAATCTAAGACTACATTCATGACATTGATAAAACTACCAGTCTGTAGCAGCTAATCAAATTCATCATAACATGAGGGAGGGAGAACCATTGAATGAACACCATCTTTCTAGTCTCTCAGAAGTAATGGCTGCCTGTAGATACAAAAGATCTTTCAACTTGCACATCCATTGAGAAACGATGTCATCTTACTTTAGTGATTCCCGGACCATCAGACCATCGATTGTTTACATTAGTATGAGATCGGAAGTGTCAGAAGTAACAAAATTTTCCTTTCGACTGCCTAAAGCCACAAGCAGTGCAACTTCAAATGTCAGAAATGCCAGTTCAGAAAGCATCTTCCAAGCAAATTCAAAATCCTATTAAACCTTTGGAAGGGAATTGTCAATTTGCTTATGAACCATAATTATGTAAGGTAAAATCCAGCTAATCCATGCGACAAAGAACAAGACAACAAAGGGCAACCGCCATTCCCCAACTCCATTGAAGTTGAAAGCAACCAAATTCATTTTTGCTGTTTCAGAATGCCTGAGCGAGAAGTAATCTAATGAAGAATCAAATCCAAAGAAAAATTTACAGCTACACGAATTACTCCAATGTCGCTCATAAGTCTACAGAAACCAGAAGAACCACAGACCGCAACTCACAATTTAATAACATACCCAGATGGAATTACTCCTGCGCGCCCTGCTAGTCACCAGCTGAGAGCAGTTTCTTTGAGACCCAAGTCTTGGCGGAAGCGAAAGTTTTGAGCTTCGGAGGAGCAAGTCCGGGAGACACTTGGGTTTGGCAGTGGGCTTGATGGGTATCTTGGTCTGAAGATGATAAGAAGCGCTGGAATGAATGGTTGTAGCTGAAATTCTCGCAAAAGAAGAAGTAGAGCAGGTGAGCTCCATTTAAAAGCAAGAGAGCCAAAACTGGAGGAGCTCCCAAGTGTGTTACAAACTGAAGACAAGTGTTAGAAATGGTTGGGAGTGTAGGGATTTTTACAAAAGTAGCACTGTTTAAAAAAAAAATTCCAAAAATAGCACCCAACTCCGAAAAATTACAAAAATAGCACCCTTCTGCAAAACCGCCACCCGTACCAGCGGTTTAGGCGAAAACCGCCACCCAGGGGCGCGTTTTTCGATGAAAATGCACCCCCACTATGCGGTTTGGTTGCAGATCGTACCCCCATCATGCGGTCTGCTTTTTTTTTTTTTTTTGAAAAATCCTAACCTAGGTGGAAACTTCAAACGAACGTATCTTTGTGTTCGAGTATCCGATCGTCGCGAATTTTTTTTTGATTCCGCATAACTTTTTGAGATCTTGCAAGCGGAAGACTGCCGAATGTGGTTTGGTCCCGCCTTCGTCCCAAAAAATGTCGTTTGCTACCCCGAACGAGCTTTTTTCCGATTTCGTCAAACGACATTTTTAAGGACTACAATTTTTACTAGAATGAATTTTCAAAACAGGAATTATTTGAATATACAGGATTTTGGGAATAGCTTACCTTCCCTTCTCAGCAATCCACGTACATTTTGAAATGATGTCTATGATAAAAGTTGTATTCCTTAAAAATTTATGCGAAATAAAAAAAAATTCATGTCGTTTGGATTTTGGAGCACAAAGTTATGGTTGTCCAAAGTTTGACGAAATCGGAAATAAGCTCGTGCGGGGTAGCAAACCACATTTTTTGGGACGAAGGCGAGATCAAACCACCTTCGGCAGTCTTCGGCTTGCAAGATCTCAAAAAGTTATGCAGAATAAAAAAAAATCGCGACGATCTGATACCCGAACACAAAGATATGTTCGTTTGAAGTTTCCACCTAGGTTAGGATTTTCAAAAAAAAAAAAAAAGACCACTTGGTGGGGGTGCGATCTGCAACCAAACCGCATGGTGGGGGTGCGGTTTTCATCGAAAAACGCGCCCCTGGGTGGCGGTTTTCGTCTAAACCGCACTGGTAGGGAGCGGTTTTTGGGAAAGGGTGCTATTTTTGGAATTTTTCGGATTTAGGTGCTATTTTTGGAATTTTTTTTTAAACAGTGCTATTTCTGGAAAAATCACGGGAGTGGGAGGTGGGCGTCATTCTTCGTCTTCCGCTGGTTGCAAGTTGCAACAACCGAAATTTTGGCTAATTCAACGAAATAAAGAGTTAATTACTTAATTTTAAAACCGACGACGATAAGCATGTGGACTGCCGGGCGACAATAATTACGAACACGGACCGAACTACCGCATGGGCCGAACACATTAGGGGAACCAACCGTCGACCAAATTGGCTCTAATTACCATACTACCCCCACTTTGGGAAAGCACGTCCTTGGACGAAACGGTAAAATCCGGATCCTCCCTCCTTACAAAAACCCTAGAGACTCTCAATTCTGTAAGTCACTCGCCCGCTTCTATATCTGCGAGAGAAACCTAGCAGCAGCTGCCGTCGTCCCCTGTTCTTGCTCTTTCTTCGGCGAGTCTCCTCTGAGCTTCTTAAGGTTCGTTCTGCCCTCTTTTCCAATCGTTGTTGCTCTTTATTCTTGTTGTTTGTTATGGTTGATCCTGAAGTGAGCGGTGTTCATGCTTCGTCTTGCTTGTTGTTTGGTTGTGTGGTGATAGAACCTGTGGAGAGATCGATCTATAGATTTTACCTGAGTGATGTTAGATGATTGTTTGTACCATTTCCGATTTCGTGGTCTCCTAGCGGAAACTGATACTGTGTGGATAGCTTGATTCTGCGCGACTCGTTCTACTCCTGTTTTTGGGATTGTCTGTTCGATTTCTCTTAGGAATTGGTTTCTAATTGCCATTGAGTAAGATTTGAACTACTATGGTAGTAATTAGATTGTGGTCGCAGATGATGGTTGTTCCCCTTTGAGATTAATTTGCAGTACCAATTAGTTGGGTAATGGCTTGATGAACACAAACTTGAAAACTATAGCCCAGTATTTTCGTACGATAAATTTCGTTATGCTGGTGCTATTTTGTAACTATAATCTTCATGCGTTGCTATTTTTGATGTAGCAATTGGGTTAGATTGTCCACTGTGCTTAGTTGGTTATTTAGGGTTTGTGTCATCGATTGAGCCAGTTGAATTTTCTGCTTGCGGTATTGGTACCACGAATCGCTGATCTATGCTGCTGCCTTATATACATTTATATCTAGTATCAAACAGATATCATCTAGTGGTTAGAATGATGACTTTTCATGTGGGTGTTCCCCTGCTAACTCTGTGCCACAATTTGGAATCGGTACAGGATGGACTCTCAGACCAAGCACGCATTGGTGGTGAATGTGATGGGTCGGACTAGATCCAGGGGTCAGGTGACTCAGGTCAGGGTCAAGTTCATGGACGACCCCAACCGTTTCATCATGAGGAATGTCAAGGGACTAGTGAGAGAAGGCGACGTCCTCACCTTGCTCGAGTCTGAGAGAGAGGCCATGAGGCTTCATTGAGATCCTGCTTTCCTTCTGGTTTGGTACTGGTCGTCCGGTGGATTGTTATTGTGGTGTTTGTGGTGGTTAGTCGTTATGTGTCCAAGGAAACTTAAGAGCAATTGAGGGTTTGTTTTACCTTTGATCTACCGAATCAAATTTTTGCTGTCATGAAAGACTTGTAATGTTGGTGTTTATTGCGAGCTTTATAATGTAAGGATGGTTTTTAAGTGTTAATCAGTCTGAATTGTCTTGCTTATATATTGTGGGTGTTTTTTTCCGGTTTGCAACATACTAGTAATAGGAGTCAATTCTCTACCAAGGTCGTTGTGTGTTGGTTCTAGATTGTGGTTGTGTTGACGCATGGTGTTTTTGTTGATTCTACTTGTGGTTGGAGAGGTGGATAGATAGGAATACTAGTTGCTAGACTTATTCCCTAATCCCTAGCTCTATTGGTCTATAGAAAATGCGCCTGGCTGATTGAATGTCATTAACTACATTTTGTGTCCTAATATTGCAAGGGGTATATGAAACATTGGGTCACTGGGATTATTAAATCGTGTCATGTTTAGCCATTGAAAAAAATTAGTATTAATTTTGGTCACTCGAATTACTAAAACAGGTCACATTTCATTGTTACATTAGCATTCGTCTAACTCCGGTCACTCTAATTACTTTAATTTTTTTGTGAATGTCACTCAAATTACTGAAACATGTCACATTTAGTCACTCTCCGTTAGTTTTGGTCCATCTCCGTTAACGGGAGGGCTGGGCCGTGGCCCGGGGAGCATCCCAGAATCCGCCGCTGTGCGACACCCAAGAGGGCATGACTGATCTTCTTACCCTTGTGAAGCTTCCCCGTGTATCTAAATGTCGGATTCCCAAGTGAATCAACAAGTTGTAGAGAATGCATAGATTTAAGACTTGTACGTGCCCAATATGAAGAGAAGTTAGAGACTAAAAACTTATGTGCTTTTTTGTGGAGACTAGATGTAACTCTATCTTGTTAGAGTATGCTTTGGTATTTCAAAAGCTCCAGAGGTTAAAAGTGGAAGATCCCTAGTATTAGGGTTAAGCTTGACATGTCAAAGGGACTCCAAAGGACGTCGACCGATGTTATGTGGAGTCTCTAGTTTCATTTTTGAAAAATATTCTATCATGCTATAATGGAAGTTTTTATTTTGTGTATGTCACAAGCAATGATCTTTTTTATGTAGTATGGCATGAAAATCATTATGGAAACTCTGATAGTATCAACCCTTTATTATTCCTTTGTTGTCGGTCTTGATAGAAGATACAAGTTGGAATATGCAATTTTTGTGCTTGATGAAGTTCTCGGGATGGAAAATGAAAGAGATATGACTAAAGATGAGTTGCTTGGCAAGGTGAAGGATTGCTTGAAGGACATGTTCAATGACTAATTGGAAATGAGAGGGGTTACTTGTGGAAGCTCATAAGAAGGGGGTTGGGGGATGTAGAGGCAAATTATCTTTAATGTGAAAGTGTTGAGTAATATTAGAAGAAAGAAACTACTATGTTGGAGCTTAGAGGTACTTAAAGTCAAATATTGAGGGTGATGAGGATACACAACTTGATATTTTAGCATGCCGAAAGAAGCATTCTAGCTAGTGAGTACCCAATACTGGATTTGATGGCTAAATATGTGTTAGGCAATTCCCGTCTTCACGGTTTCATTCGAGTTCGCTTTCAGTACCAGAGGGCATGTTTTAGATGTGAAGTTCCTTCATTGGTTGTTGAAAGTTTGATTTGTGCTTAAAATTGGCTTTAATCAAGTACTATTCCAATTGATATATAAGAGAAATTTGAGGAAGTTGAACAAAGTATGAATATTTGTTTAGACAATTACTAATTTATTTGATGTGTTGTTAGTTTTGTAGAGTTGAAGGAGTTTTTCTAGGATGATAGTAATATCATGAATTGATAATTTGGTTGATGATGATTAAAAGACAATGTATTTGAGATCATGAGTGGTGTTGTTGGTGAATATAGAAATGATGTACATTTAGATGCAATTTATATTTTTAGATGTGATTTGAATTCCTCGTAAGGTAATTTGAATTTTTAGATTTAATTTGAATTTTCTAAAATTAATTTGAATTGTTTAGGGTTTATTCAAATTGTTTATATTACCTAGGACTTTTTTGAATTAATTAGAATTTTTCATAAGCTATTTTGGACTTTTTATGTAACTTTAATTTTATGGGATTGATCTAATTTTTGTTTGGAATTAATTGGAAATATTGTGGGTTATTTTGGGGGGTTTTAGATGTAATTTGAATTTTTGTAATATAATTTGATGCAATTGAGTTGGGTTAACCATGAGAGTCAATCCAGCTTGGCCCGATCCATTCATGTGGGCCAGAAATGGTCAAGGGTAAATAGAGTCAGCAAGGCTAGGCCAATAGCTTAACCCAACAGGGTCGACAATTTTACACTAGTTCTAGGATTAGGTTTGGGGTTCGACTCAATTTCACCCAACAAAAAAGGTATAACATGGTTTATTGTCATCTATATATAATATATGACCTTCTAGCCGAATACTATACTACCTTTAGTCTCTCATGTCATAGGATACAAATTTCCTTTCAGATAGAGGTAGAACAATTTAGCCATGCTTATATGCAGTAGTTTCCACCACATACTAATAACCACTGCATTGATACGATGAATATGGATCACAATACTCTTACACATTAGGTTACATAATCAATTCAAATGTGGTGTCAAAACGACTTCCAGAGCAACATCCAATCTTCTAATGTGGTCTCAATCTCAACGCGAGGTTGACTGTTTCTGAAATTTCAGATCTCTCGGTTTCTCCTCTAAAACAAGCATCTCAATCTCCGTGTGAGGTCACTTCCCTGTTGCTGGGCATTATTGATTTTGCAGTCTTTTAGCTAGTTTGGTCGCGGGACTTTATCGAGATCGTCGATGTTAGCTCGATCTCTAGCTCATGTGAAGTCGCCAGATTGCGATGCACACCGATCTGTCTGATTTGTTGGCCTTCTTCATTGAAGGAGGGAGGAAGGGGTAAGGGTAAATTGGGTCCTTAACTATGAAGGATTCATATTTGGGGATACACATGTATATATATGCAAGTAGAAATTTATCCCTCGAAAAGAAATTAATTTCCAATATTCATTTAGTCATTGAACATCCATTACAGAAGATAGTTAATTAATTAGCTTGACACATACGGTGAATTATATTCACGAATATCCAATTGCTGGTGCTTCTACTCTTGTCTGAAGAAATCAACCCAAGGTGGATCGCTGAGGTCCAAGCTGTCCATCAGAAACCGATGAGTCATATCATCATCATCATCATTACAATTGGACCCTGAGCCCGACCCGAACCGGTCCAAGTTTGAGACGCCGTAGTCTTCAGACTCTTCACCGTATTCCGTCTGAACCGGAAACGACGTCATCCCCTGGTCCTGAAGTAGTTCACCGTCGCTATTCCAAGACGATGACGGCAATAACTCAGATGATGACGCCATAAACACATTATTATTATTATTATCATCATAATGACGACGGCGCTTGACGAGTGGGTTCTTCCTCAACCGGCAGACTAGGGGTGGGCAACGGGACGGGATTGGGTACCCGTCCCGTTTGGGTACCCAATCCCATTTGGAGAGGAAACTCCATTCCATTCCCAAACCCGTACGGGTTAACGGGTACCCATTACCCGTACGGGACGGATAACGGGTACCCGCGGGTACCCGTTATTATTTAAAAAAAAAAAAATTTAGCCATAATAAATAAGCTAAGCGACCATAGATGTGTATGATAATTAGCCGAAAAAAGAATAATTTTATTCAATGAAGCAAATTAATATAAGTACACCAAAGCCAACTCCAAAGCAGAATTCTCGGCACCATGACCCTGAATTGCAGGAACTAAGAAATTACACTCACCTGCACAGCAGCTTTCATAGCTCTCTGCTAACCGAATAAGCCTAAACGACTAAGGCCCAAACAAGCCCCAACAAGATGATGGAGTTGTTTCATTCTGCTACTGGGTTGGTGAAGAAGCAACCTAGCAGATGGGTGAATCTTTCATTATAATCATCCATCTTCTCATTTCACTTCCTTGTAATGCATCCATGCTTGAGCCATTTCTAAAGTAAAAGGTTCATATGCAACTATGTATTATTACATGGGAATAGATCACCGAAGGAAGAATATGTATTATTACTTTAAAGAAGACAAACGGGTACTACGGGTACCCGTAATACCCAAACGGGTATGAACGGGTAACCCGCGGGTACCCATTGTAGAATTTTTTGTTCCCAAATCCCATCCCGTAAAAAAATTACGGGTATTTGGGTACTTTTGATCATGTCAGCATCTTCTTGATCATGTTCATTAGCCTCCATCACTTTTGACTTGCCAGTAGCGGCCTTCCCTGTTGCTGCCCGACGTTTCTGCAAGCAGAAAGTAGAGGTGAAGGCTTGACCTGAAAGACCCATTGATCCGTCCCGACTCGTCCAGTCCTTAAGGATCGGGACGGGTCAGTTTGTCTACAGAAACAGATTAGAGATGGGTCATTTGTAGACTCTGTAAGGGTCGGGACGGGTAGGGATAACTTAGGGACGGGTCACGTTTTGACTCTGTCACCCTTACCAACAACAAATATCTCACACTACATTGGACATTTTTGTAAAGTTTTAAAAGTTTAGGTACTAACTTGTAAAAATAAAAAAAAATTGAGGACCAAAATGTAATTTTACCATCAAAATTTATGGACTTATTTGTAAAAAAATTAAATTTTAGGTACTAAATCGTAAGAAAAAATAATTTTGGGTACCAAAACATAATTTGTAAAAAAGTAGTGTGTTGATTAGAGTCGACCCAGTAACCGGCCCGTCGGGACCCGTCCCAACTCTTGAAGGTCAGACAGGGTCAAGAAGGAAACAGGAACGAGACGAATCACTTATACATCTTGAATCTTGAGCGACGGGTCAAACAGGATCAGGGACGGGACAAGTAAATTTTCAGCAATAGATTCAAATACAAATATAAATGACGAAAGATTCAGAGGATTGTATCAATTATGAGGATTAACTACCTGATCAGTACTATGAGTGGAAACTTGAGCTTCTATTGTGTCATTGAGGAGAAAGCCTCGACGAGGATCGCAAAGATCGCTCAGCCGAGTAAAGCGCTTCCACCCGCATTCATCCTCGCCTTCTAAGAACTTCATTCTCGAACCTACAACGAGATGGCGAAATTTTGCTTTTGGTTCAGTTATATACGTACTGTTTGGTTCTAAGAAGGAATCCAATAATTAACATATATATACCTTTGTTCACAGAGGAGGCCGGATCAGTTTGGTTGACGACGGTGAGAGTGAAGTCAACCGTCACGCTCCACCGGCCACGGCGCATGGTTTCGGGGTCAACCAAAACATGGCGGATTGTTTCTCCATCGATCAACGATAAATACACAGAAAGGTAACCATCATCATCCTCTCCTTTTGGGTAGACCAGAATCCTCCTGCCATGCCATCAATCATGTACAACAAGAAATACGTACCCAAAAACCCATCAACCAGAAGAGACATATATATACGTATGAGAAGGTGAACTGCTATTTGCCGCCAACCAAATTGCTATTTGCCGCCAACCAAAAAAAAATTTGAATTTAAATTTTGAATTTTCCCTCCCTTCCCTTCTTTTCATTCTATAAATTGGGATATCAAGAACATTTGACTCATTCCAACAAAAACTTCTGTTGACGAGCCCAGTGCCTCCGTTGCCGGCACTGTTCTTCCGTCGTCGGCTAACCTCCCGTCGCCCTCAATCGTCGGAAAACAAGTAAGTTTTCCAGTTTTACGGTCACTTTTCCGGCGCGTTTTCCAGTTTTCCGGCGAAAAACACGGTGGGCCGAAAAAAAATTGCGGCCGGAGCGACGTCGGGCCGAAAAAAATTTGCGGCCGGTACGACGGGCGGCCGAAAAATTCTTTCGGCCCGGCGACGCCTCGGCCGCAAATTTTTTTCGGCCGGTCGCCGAACACGCCGGCCAAAAAATTTTTCCGGCGGCGTGTTCGTCGGCCGGCCGAAAAAAATTTGCGGCCGGAACGTCGCCGTGCCGAAAGAATTTTTCGGCTGGACGGCGCACCGGCCGCAAATTTTTTTCGGCCCGACGTCGTTCCGGCCGCAAATTTTTTTCGGCCCGGCCAGTTTTTGTATTTAATTTTATTTAATATGATAATTAATTAGCAATTAGTGTTAATATTTATTTAAGTTGGTGTATAAATGTTTTTTTGTAATAGGCGTTTGAAAGTTTAATTACTTAGATTAGTTAATGGAATTTTAATTAATTAAGAATTAATTTAATAATTAATGTTAATATTTAGTAGATTAGTTAATAGAAAATTAATTAATTTCTGATTAATTAACAATTAATGTTAATAGAAATTTAATTAATTTGTGATTGATTAACAATTAATGTTAATAGTACATTAGTTAATAAAAAATTAATTAGTTAGTGCGCATCTAAGTGTGATATTGTTTAAATTTGTAGATAATTAGATATGGATGATGCGGGTGGGAATGAGTTGAATAGATTCAATGGTAGGGTTGTTGATATATCAGCACGAAGGAAGAATAAGGAGAAGAATAAGCGCTCTCGAGATATTGGACATCAGTCACAGGCAAATTTAGGGGAGGATGAGTTAGAGGCTCCTACTGTAGTTGCTCGTTCGGCATCACGGGCGTCTGGTTCCCATGGGAGGAACCAGGGTGCTGCATCGAGAGTGGTCTCGGCTGATTTTGATGAGGACGATAATGATGAGGATATCGAGGTCCCTCCACCTACGCGTGGACATGGACGAGGGCCGTCTTGTATGGCAACATCACGTCCTGCTATGTATAGGGACCGAGCTGGGCGATTCGTACCACCTGCTCGTCAGGAGACAGAGAGCTCGAGGACAGGACGGAGTAGGGGAGGACGTTCGAGTGGTCCTCCACCGTGGGAGCTTGTTGGTGAGTGTCCTGGTGGACCTACGGATCCTAGCCTCATTAGGAGCTTTCGTGGCCACGTTGCCTATGCGCTTTGGACGGGGGCTGGAGATCGAGGGGTCATCAGTTGCTACACCGTACATCGGCGGTTTCTTATCTGAGTAGCTACGTGTTTAGTCATGTTGAGGCGGAGGATCTGGTGGCGCAGTCAGGTCTCCAGCACCTGATCTACTCTATATTCCGCAAGATAGCGATTGACGAGGCTTTGATCTCAGCTTTTGTGGAGAGGTGGCAGCCAGACACGAACACCTTCCACTTGCCTTTTGGAGAGATGACGATCCTCCTCCACGATGTTCAGTACTTACTGCAGATTCCTGTTGAGGGACGACTGATGAGTAGGAGTTCTGCGCAGCTTGACCATCCGGAGGCGGGTTTGTGTGCGCTTCTTGGGATGAACTCGGAGCAGTTGAGTGGTCGTTCGGAGGTCCCTGAATATAATAATAGGGGTAAGTGGTACGAGAAGGGTGGTTTTCTTGCAGAGATGGCGTCCAGATACTTGCAGAGCCACGGGACACATGTGACAGAGGCGCAGTCGTACTTGTTGTTGCTGTTGGGGTCCACTTTGTTTGTGGACAAGAGTAGAGACAGGGTTCGGTCGGTGGTGAACCTATTTTTGGACGAGTTGGAGGAGTTAGATCAGTATAGTTGGGCGTCAGGTACACTTGCTTGGTTGTACAGATACCTTGGTCAGGCGTCTCGTGCTGGTGCCAGGGGGATGGCTGGTTGTCTCACACTTCTGCAGTGCTGGATCTACGAGTACTTTCCGGGTTTCAGGCCATCTCACTTCGAGCCTGCCGCTGTTGGAACTGATGATGCTTGGGCTTCACGATGGGTTGGGCAGCCGACACCTGGTTCTGTGGCTGATTCCAGTGGGAGGTTGGCGTTCTACCGTCGAGCTCTTGACAGCTTGACCCCTTCTGATGTGTTTTGGAAACCTTTCCATCAAAGGCCTCATCAGGCAGTGCGTCGCTCTTTGTACACTGGAGTCATCCGGTTCGCTGACATAGGCGAGTTCTATGATCTAGCCCGTTGCCTCCGACAGTTTGGATACCGACAGATGGTACAGCCTGCCCCTTCGCGTCCTCAGCAAGCAGACCGACCAGAGGCACCTGGTGGATATGTCATTCGGATTCCTGAGAGTTTTGATGCTGCATGGGATGCTCTGCTATCCCACATGGTTCATATAGACATGTACTCTCAGCCGTGGACGACGTATCCATATGAGACTACGAGAGACAATCTTGACTGGTTCGTGGCGCACTCTCATTGTAGAGTCCTACGGGATGATGGAGAGGCAGATCGACTAGTTGACTCCGCAGCGGTAAGATTTGACCACTAAATCGTTACTCTATTATAAATATACTTAGCATGAAACTAAAAATTGTTCTTGTTTTTTTTTTCATGCAGCGTGGTCGCGACCTTTTGTACACGTTTGCACCTGCGGTTCGAGCAGCAGCAGGGACCGAGGAGGATTTTGTTGAGCATTCTCGACGAGCCTACAGGGCACTGCAAGGAGTGCAGGACGTGTGGACTGAGTACTGGGATTCTCAGGGACTCCCCCCTCCAGGGGATTTTTATTTGTTTTGATGTTTTCATATTTGTGTTTAGATCGGATGTTTGACTACTTATGTATGTTTGGATCGGATGTTTATGTTCAGACTGCATGTTTCCATATTTGTGTTTAGATCGGATGTTTGACTACTTATGTATGTTTGGATCGGATGTTTATGTTCAGACTGCATGTTTCCATATTTGTGTTTAGATCGGATGTTTGACTACTTATGTATGTTTGGATCGGATGGTTATGTTTAGACTGCATGTTTCTGACAAGCTAAAACACAACACCTAACAATGAAAAAAGTGCAACCACACGGCCAGGGTGCAACTTCACACGGCCGTGTAGCTCACCCAGCCTGGCCGTGTGAAGCCTCGCACATTTCCACACGGCCATAGTGCAACTTCACACGGCCATGGTGCTTGTTCGAGGCCGTCCTCTCGGATTCTCATTCACTTCCGGTTCCCTCACATTGTCCTCTGCTGGGTGAAGCCCATAGAATAGGGCATCTCTTGCTTGTCTCACTGCTTCAGGACCTCTTTCTTCCACCTCTACAGTAAGACGCCTAAAGTGTTCTCGTTGAAGCTCAATTTCATCACTGACTTGTTGTTGACGTGGGGGGTTTTTATAATCCAAAGTCCGCCAAAATACATGCAACTCTTGAGCATAGAATTGACGTCCTTCTTCCTTAGCTTGAACAATCTGGCAAGCACACTTGAGCCCATGTGTCATCTGAAAATGACACGCACAACTGTCCTTCAACTCCGCCGCCCCATCTAACATCAGTTTGATTGCCTCAGAACTAACGACCCTCCTCAAAAACGTGCACGGAGGCTCAATTGCCCTACTCAGATTGCGGTTCAGTGACTTGTGCAGTTCATTCACCACTTCCAGAAACTGATGTTCCATGTAGTTGTGGTTCTTCGCAAAACAAGTGTCGATCGCTCCTCTACCAGACACAAGGAAAGTCTTGAATGAAGAGTGAGATGACTCAACTCTATTCGAGCTCGTGTTACCAAGATGAAACACATGGTTCGTGTAGCACTTTGCCCACATTGTCTGATGAGGCAACCACTCACCTCGCACGTAGTCGACCATTTTTTTGTTCTTCACTGTCCAGACCCTCTCAAACTCATTAATCTTTTGAAGAAAACCCTCCTGAGTCCAACTCCATGCAGCTTTGTCGAAGTATTTCTTCCATACCGCTTGTGCTACCTCTCTTTTTGCAATTCCACCAAGTAACACTTCAAACTTTTGCTTCACACAGTTGTTGACGTGCCATAAACATAGTAGGTGGACAGTATGTGGGAGAGGGAAGACCACAGGAATAGAAGCAAGCAAACCACCTTCTTTGTCTGTCACAATGACATTCGGAACCGTATCACCGAGCAACCCTTTAATACATCGCAACAGCCACTCATATGTTTCCTTTGTTTCCTGCTTAATAATTGCACATGCAATGTTGAAATTCTTCTTCACTGGAGTAACCCCAATAATCTCAACCCATGGCCAGCCGTACCTGTTGGTCTTGTAGGTCGAGTCAATGAGGATGACGTACGGCCATGCATGCAACATCTGAATGGACGTCGGGTGCGCAAAAAACAGATTAGTGAGCACATTATTAGAGTCCTTTTGCAAACAGATATGGTACCCACGATGTTCAGCTCCGTGAAGCGCAAACTGTATCGCATCCATTTCACCCATCTCATCCAATCTTGTCTTGGAATTTATGTTGTACATCTGTTTGATATCATGATGCACACCCCCTTCAGTATTGAGTGTCGTCTTCTGCTGATTTGGTCTCACCCCCGCCTTCCTCATTAATTTTAACCTCTCTTTTTCAGCCTCACTAAACTGTTTGTTGTGTCGGTGATGTTCTGGATACAACACCTTTTCATGGTTGTGAAACCCTCTATTAGCTCCGGTTTCACGACTTGTCACTCCCACTATGACCCATGTGTTTGGACCATCCTTTTGCCATACTTCCTTTATACATATCTGAAACTGGCAACCAGTACCCTTCGAACTAATATTCCCACGCGTCTCCTTCGTAGTGTCTGGTTTATAAGACTTAACGATCCTACTACTTCTGTCGCAATACATACAGAGGGCAGTAACAGGATGTAGTCCAGCAGTATTCGGTTTCCATTCTCCTCTAATAATAAAGAACCCACACTGCTGAGCGATTGTTTTTGCAGCTAACTCAGCTAACTCCACACTTGCATAATGGATCCCATTCTCAAATTCCTGTGTGTAATCATGATCGGCCGGTAACAACTCTGACATTTTTCCTACAATTACAATATAATACATCAATATTCCTGTGAACCTAAACGCTAATTTCAAGTCTTAACCGCTAAATTCAACTCCTAAACTCTAAATTCAATTCTTACACGCTAAATTCAACTCCTAAACTCTAAATTCAACTCCTAAAATCTAAATTCAACTCCTAAAATCGAATTTTTCCGAAAAATTGCAAAAACAGACGGTGGGCCGAAAATTTCCGGTGGCCGGAACCTGGCCGGGCCGAAAAATTCCGGTGGCTGGAACCTGGCCGGGCCGAAAAATTCTGGCGGCCGGAGCCAGGCTGAGCCGAAAATATCTTGCGGCTCAGCCTGGTTCCGGCCGCTGGAATTTTTGGCCCGGCCAGGTTCCGGCCGCCGGAAATTTTTGGCCCACCGTCTGTTTGTTTCAAATCGTCGGAAAAATTGTTCGAAACTACAAAAAAAATTACGCACCTTCTTAGTGATGATTCATTGATGCGTGTACGCAGTATATGTCGAGGATAGGCTTTCCCGATGATTTTCCGGCGAATTTTCCGGCGAGTGTTGAATTTTTCTGATTCAATACGTTCTCTGAAAGTTGGATATGTTGTAGATTGTGAAACTCCTTACCCAAAGATGTCTATATATACTCTTTTTTTTTTTTTTGGGTTGGCGGCAAATAGCAAGCCCCATGAGAAGATAGAATATGATGAACTGTAACTATCGATCTCATCAAAGGAGGAGGAGGAGCAGAAAGACACATGCATATATACCATCTGACATTGCCTTTGGTCAAGAAAGTTCTGGAGGCAGATTGTTCCCGCGTGGAGAAATTCTCCACTTTGCATACGAATGTCTGAATCTCCTTCTCCATAGCCGGCGACCGGCGCGAGCTAATATGGCGCGTGATAGATTCTCACGCGTCGTAGAACTCGAGCTCTCCGACGAACAAACTAAGAATGCGATGAAGATAACTAAATTACTACTAAACTATTAGACTTTATTGATCGAATGAATAAAACAAAGAGCAAAGGTACATATTTATAGGACAAGTCCCACAAACCCCTTTCCCCTTATGACATGGAAACCCAATCCCAAACCGACTAGTAAACAATAACTTCCTAAGCAAGACATAATATAATAATCCAAATAACAACCGAAAGACAAATAATAATAATAATATCCTAGGTGGCTGCGGAAATTATAATGCACCAAACCCCCTCTTTAAACAACCTCGTCCCCGAGGTTGCCTTCTTTCTCCTCTTCTCCGCCATCCTCGTCCTTGAAGTCGCCGATCATAACGAAGACGTTCGCATTTGCACAGCGATGCCCATATGTGAACCTCTCGTCGCAATTGTAGCACAGCCCGTCGCGACGGCGTCTAGCAGCTTCCTCCGGTGACAGGTTGCGAATGATGCGCCGTGGCGGAGGTGCCGGAGCTCGCCCTGTTGTTGGCGCAGTTGGCAGAGCCGCTGGTGGTGCAACTGGAGCAGGTGGTGGTGGCGCCCAAGTCGTGTCGGCGGTGGCAGCCCGCGGCACAGTCCTCGTTGATCCCTTCTCCAAGCGCAACTCCTCCTCACGTATCTTAGCCAATCGATACGCTTCGCCAGTGGTTTGCGGATTAAAAGCTCGAATATAGGCAGATATTTCCGGCTTTAATCCTCCCATGTAGGACCCCATGATCGCAACCTCGGTCCAACCGCGGCAACGATTCAGCAACTTCTCGAAGGTATGTTGATATTCGTCAACAGAACCAGTTTGACGAATCTTGGCCAACGCCTCATGTCCAGACGACTTCTCCGACGACCCATACCTTTTCCATAACTCGGCGCATAGACTGCTCCAAGTCATCATCACCCCGTACTTCGCGAATTCTTCCTCAAGCCACATGATCCACTGGTTCGCGTCACCATCCATGTGATAAGTAGCCAGCACCACCTTCTGCTCTTCTGGAATGCACTGGTAACGGAAGTACTTCTCAACACGCGAGACCCACCCAGATGGATCTTCCTTGCCAGTGAACTTCGGAAATTCGAGCGGTGCGATCCTGGTTCGAAACATTGCTTGACCTTGCTCCTCGAATTGACCCATGGGTTGGGTCAACCCAGTCGGTCCACCCGAATACGGCCCCCCCGGCCCGTGGACTTGGGGTCGGCCCACAGCTGGTCCGCACCAACTCTGCTGACCCGGCCCGAGCGGTGGTCTGGGCTCGGTCCAGCTTGCCCCTGCAGCCCATGGCCCGCTTGGCCCAGCTCCCTGCGCTCCTGGCCCACTCAGCGGCCACGGATGGCGCGGCCCATTCCCCGGAAGACCCGGCCATCGCTCGACCCGGCCGGTCCATAGGGCACGTTTGCATCCCCGGCCCACTGCTCCGCTCGCTCCGGCCCGCCCGCGATCACACCTGGCCCAGACGACCTGTCTCCAGCTCGACCTCCCTTGGTTGCTCCTGGGCTAACCCCGTAGAGCAAGGCCCCAGTCAGGCCACCCATATTGGGTCCTAGCCCATGAAATACTCCTCCGCGGTTGGTGGGCTCTGGAGTCGGCCTCATCGGTGGCCTCCCCCCTTGGCCGACGACCTGCTCCTCCTCGCCATCGACGGCGAGATTCCCCCAGCCAGCTCCGACGGGAATCCCGCGACCGATCCCTCCACTGCGCCCCACGCTCTCGACCGGTGCTCCGTTCATCACTTTCGGTTTCGTTCCCGGCGTCGGTGTCGAGCTCCCGCTAGTGGAAGAGTGAAACTCCTCGTCCACGGCGACTGCCTTCAGCTTCTTTGCAGCCGTGATCTGGTCGATGGTGCGACCTTTTCCCCCAGCGACGGGGTCGAGCTCCTTTGACGGCTCAGCCTCCTTCTTCCCCCAAGGCGGGTTGCGGAGGATTGCGAGGATCGCGCTGACGTCGTTCGCCAACCGCCCTTGCTCAACGCGGACAACGTTGACCTCCTCTTACAATCGATCCTGTCCATCCTGAAGTTTCTCCTGACCACGCTGCAATTGCCCGACGTCGACGCGGAGATGCTTCAGGGCTGCTTCGTGATCGCGGTTGATAGCATCCTGAGCTTCCATCCTAGCCACGATCGCCTGTTGATGACCGGCGAGAACTTGAAATTGAAGCGCTAGCTCCTCATCGCCGGCGGCGGTTGGTGATGATGGTGTCGTTGGCTGCTTGCGCGGTGGCATGGTCTCCTGGCTTGGTTCACTCGGAACCAGGCTCTGATACCAATTGATGCATTGACGGATCAAGCATCGCAGCACAAGAACGATAAATAAACTAAAACAACTAAATTAGGGGTTTTCTTCTTCATTGACTTCCTAAAATGTAGAAACAAAGTACATATTTATAGTAGAACCGGAAAACCTAATGACTTACTAATCCTACAAGGACTCGGTAACTTAATCCTAAAAAATACCTTAAATACTTTAATAATTAATACTATTCCTAAACAATAACCAAAACCGACTAATAAATTAATAATAATAATAATGGCCGGCCGAATATGATAATGCATCAATAATTGATGCATTGACGGATCAAGCATCGCAGCACAAGAACGATAAATAAACTAAAACAACTAAATTAGGGGTTTTCTTCTTCATTGACTTCCTAAAACGTAGAAACAAAGTACATATTTATAGTAGAACCGGAAAACCTAATGACTTACTAATCCTACAAGGACTCGGTAACTTAATCCTAAAAAAACTACCTTAAATACTTTAATAATTAATACTATTCCTAAACAATAACCAAAACCGACTAATAAATTAATAATAATAATAATAATAATAATAATAATGGCCGGCCGAATATGATAATGCATCAATCCTCCCCCCTTCGAAGAACTTCGTCCCCGAAGTTCAAGCATCGTCTTAACCCGGATCGATGAAAAAGTTGTTGACGATAGCGAAGAAAACGGATGTTCGCTGATACCGACCTCGTTTTCGGAACTTCCAATTACGCCAGGGCATTGGAACAATTTCGATCTCCACAGCTCCCCACATACGCAGCTCCACCAATGGCGGTGATGGCTTGGAAACCCCATCCTCCTTGGCAGTGGTGCGGTTACGCCAGGAATCGGCAGCGGCAATAGCCCTTCTCTCTCGGCCCTTCTCGACGTCGACAGCAGCTCGCAACTTCGACATCGATGGCTTCGTTGCAGTAGAATTCACTCTCTCCCCGACGAGAAGTGGAACCGGAGCTAGGGTTAGCTCTTCCATTAGGTCCAGCTTCGTAGCAGCAATGACGGTAGCAGACTTGTGAGGCGGCGGCGGCGTGATGAGCTTGCCTGTGATCGGGGAAGCCGGGTCCTCGACCGTGTCTGTGGCCTCGATCGCCTTTGCTTCCCTGTTCAAACCTTGCAAGTCAACCCAGCGTCCCGGTTTTCTGAAATGCATCGTGCGCCGTTCCCAATCGACATACGTCGGTCCAAGTTGATTCAGCCATTGAACGCCTAAGACCACGTTGTGTCCTTTGATCGGCAGCTCATACAGATCTACGGCGTTGGGGGTTTCGCCCTGGACAGTGAGGTCTACGGCTTTGTAGCAAAGTCTGCAGTCGAGGGACTCTCATTGGTGACCTTGACCCGAAACGGTGGAATCGGTGTGGCCGTCAAGGACATGGCTCTGGCGACCTCGGTACTCACAAAATTGTGAGAAGAGAAGACGTCAACAAGGGCGACGATGTTCTCGTTCATGAGCTGAGCTGAGAATTGTAGTGTGGCAGAATTGGTGACCCCCATTAGTGCGCAGAGTGGGATCTTCGCGTCACATGGCTCGTCGGGCGGTTCCAGTCGTGGAACGCATCTTCTCGCACTCCGTTCAGCAACGGCGGCAGCGGCAGATGAGGTTGTGACCTCCAGCGGTGCATGGCGAACGTCCAGCTCCAGCGACGTAGGCCTTGTGAATTTTGGCGGCGGTGTAGTTGCTCGCGGGACCTCTTCCCAACGTTGGTGGTTGACGTTGGCGATACCTGCCCTGGGAGCTGCAGCAGCGAGCTCGGTTCTCTCGAACCAGGCTCTGATACCAATTGGCGCGTGATAGATTCTCACGCGTCGTAGAACTCGAGCTCTCCGACGAACAAACTAAGTATGCGATGAAGATAACTAAATTACTACTAAACTGTTAGACTTTATTGATCGAATGAATAAAACAAAGAGCAAAGGTACATATTTATAGGACAAGTCCCACAAACCCCTTTCCCCTTATGACATGGAAACCCAATCCCAAACCGACTAGTAAACAATAACTTCCTAAGCAAGACATAATATAATAATCCAAATAACAACCGAAAGACAAATAATAATAATAATAATATCCTAGGTGGCTGCGGAAATTATAATGCACCATAATAATCTTTCGATTCTGCTTTCAGGTATTGAAGCCCAACTAGTGAAAGAGGAGGAAGAGGAAAGCGAAACTAGCTAGCTGCAGAGATAGAGGAAGTAGTGTTGTCCAGGCGATTTTTGGAGGCGGCGATAGTGGAAGATGAAGAGGTAGTAGGGGTGGGGTGGGGGGAGAAGATTTAATTTTCCAAGTGGAGGGGAGGGGAGGCCAATCGACTACTGCTCCACTTCAAAATGAACACCAACGGAGCATTAATTGTAAAGAATCATAAACCTATGATGGTGTACTAGCTTATAGATCATTGCGTGAATCCAGAGACCATGCTTCTTTGTCTTTGTCTGCATGTTCAAATGAGGCTCTTCCCAATAGGCAAGATTGTAAATGGCTCTCTGGTCTCTGTCAGTTCCACCAAAGCTTCGTTTCTTCATTTGGAAGAGTGCAATTGCGACTTGTGAGCGTCTCCTCTCTAGGATGTGTTCGACGGATCCTTTGTGCCCCATTTGTGAGAATCATGTGGAGTCAATCATGCACATGTTCTTTCACTGCCTGCACGCTAAGAGTACATGGGAGTGCTTTGGAGGGCTTTCCATCCCACTGACACCCGAGACTACATTCGCGGAGTGGTTCTTCTCCCTAGCTAAGAGAGAATGTGTCGGGTGAGGATATCAAGATGATTATATGCTGCTTATGAAATATTTGGATCGCTCGGAACGGGTTCGTTTTCGAGAACAGGGCTATTTCCCCGCCCTCAACGGCTGCGTTAGCTGGGAGAGAATTTCTAGGCTTGGCTGAAGCTAGAAATTGTGATCGTTCTTTCTCTTCTATTCACTCAGCTATGGAGCCTACTCAACCTAGGGGATCCCGATCAAACCCCTCACCACCGCCTAGTGTCTTTCATAGGATTGTGCACTGTAGATGGTTCGTTTGTTTCCGAATCACAGATGGCGACTTGTGGGATTACAGTTGCTAATTCCCACGGTCAGGTGTATGACAGCAATGTTGAGAGATTCTTTTGTTCCAATTCGATGCAGGCGGAAGCTTATGCTATTCTCAATGGAGTGACATTGACGGCTCGAGAACAACGCTCAGCTTGTGTCAAATCAGATTGTCAGATTTTGGTGAATGCTCTGAAGCTTGTTCCGGCCCAGTGGCCTTGGCAATGTCGGGCTTTACTTGCTCGTGTCTCGACCATTCTCGTCTCGGCTCTGTGGGTGAAAGTGATGTTTGTTCCTAAACGTCACAATCTGTTAGCCGACTGGGTTGCTCATAATGCTAGATTAGGTGCTCTCCCACGAGATTGGATCATTGTTGCCGATCTGTTGTCTCCTTTGTTGTAACCAACTGTACTTCCACTGTTTCGATTTGGAATGAAAGTGCCCCAATTTGTAAAAAAAAAAAGGACCTATTTATGTGAATCAAAATTATCAATTATTGTTTCAAATGGAAGTGTTATCGTGTTATAGAATTTAGGTAAGATTTATTGTGCTAGAGGTTTTGGATTATGAATTTGATATTTGTGAATAGTATAGTCCACAATATTTTTTCCGTATTTAAGATGTTATGGTATTTTTTCTATGAATGTCCATTTTTTATTTTATTTTGGAAGAATTTCCATTGATCATTACATTTTCTTCTTTACCTTTTTCATGAATCAGTAGCATTTTTATATAATAAAAAATAGTAATGTACTATTTTGGCAACACGTACACCCGATTAATTGAGTTGATTAACAATCACTAACACAATTCAGTAAACTCTCCTAACTATATGCGAACAAAGATTTGTCTCATTAGTATTAGTTTTGAACCTAGAGATCTCAGTCTCAGGTTTGAATTTTTTCCAGTAGCACCTAACTATAAAGTTAATCTATATCACCCTTATAAAAAAAAACTCTGCTAACTATATATATACTAGGAAAGAAAAATCAAGTATAAGACTAATTGTTTCCAAATCTAGGGGTCGTTTGGAGAATATGAGTTTAAATCTAGAGATTGTCAATAATCTAAAGATTCTAACTCTTCGGATTGTTGAAAATAAATTTTAAAATGTTTACTGTTTGGTAATTGTGATTGTTAACATTCAAGTACAATAAAAAAATTAATTTTATATTAAATACAATGTTTATCCTTAATAAAAAATTAGAGTGGTTCGAGAAATATTAAAAACATTGTTGATAAATATATTTCATGTGATAAATAAATAAAAGGAAGAGAAAAATCAGGAGAGAAAAAATCTCACAAATTAAGATATAGAATCTCTCTGATTATGAGAGATTTGATATCCGCAGATTTTAGAGATTTGAAATCTCTAAAGCTAGAATCCACAATACAAAAAGCAACAAAAAAACATAACTTTCTCCAAAATATACGGATTCAGTGAATCCATGTCCTGAATCCTGTTCTCCAAACGACCCCTAAGAGCAATTACAGAATCAAGCCCATAAACCATTTACTTCTCAACATCAGTAACGGCCTCTATCTAGTTGTAAAAAAAATAATCAGCCTATACCTCTCTTTATTTGTTGTTGAAACCTATACCTCTCTTTAGATGTGGCCACTCGCCAAAGCTTATGCTTCTCTCTTCATTTTTTTTTTATAGTAGATGAACATTCACACTCACACCACTTGAGCGATGACAAAGCGAGATTAAATTCGAAGTTCATCAGTTTGAACTCTTTGAGCTCTTCATTAAGATCCCCTTTTGGTACAAGCTTCTCTCTTCATTTTTTTTTTATAGTAGATGAACATTCACACTCACACACCACTTGAGCGATGGCAGAGCGAGACCAAATTCGGAGTTCATCAATTTGAACTCTTTGAGCCCTTCATTAAGATCCCCTTTTGGTACATTCGGGACCACCACAACCGGTCTCGAGGTGGGTCGAACACTAGACCTCACACTTCCCGATGAAAAATCTATCAAAAGTTTTACTAATTAGGATATGTGACCTTTGGTTATCATTCTCCCTCCATTCTCCCTCACATCTGCAATAATATTAGGTGAGGAGTGGACTGAAAATAGAGAAAGAGAGATGGAGAGTGGGAGATCCGGGAAAAGGAAAATAAAAAGAAATGTATTGGTTGCAATGAATGCTCCGTTAGTGTATTTTTCTCTTTCTTTCTTGAAAGTGTTTCTTTTGGAATGAAACATGTAATATCTTGAGCTACAAATAGTACTACACCCTTGATCGTGAAATATCGATTGCTTGTTGAATCCTGTGAATTGTAGGAAAGTAGGATACTCCGAATTCGGGAGTCCAAGAGTTTTATAAAACGCTCTTGATGGAAAAAAATGTGAATGAAAGATCCCACTAAATTGAATTAGGTCCATGAATCTAAGAAATAGTGAGAATTCTTGATCTCTCTCAATATCTCTCTCAATTCGAAAATCCAGGATTTGAATTGATGTCCTTTCATTGATTCCTCCTAAAGTAAATGAGAGATCTAAAATTTATAAGTAAGAAATTGGTCTTAATTGACAAGACTCTTTTTGAGGTGAAATTAAATAGTTCTTTTAAAAATTTCGAAATTAGGCGTGCTCGCTGTAGAGAACTGGCAAGGATGGGTGACCTCATAGGAAGTCACTTTGATATGTAGTCAAGGCAAAAACCGTGAGAGTCTAAACCAAAGCGGACAATATCTTTATTGGAAAAAAAATTCGGGATATTACAAGAGATATCAGAAAGGTATGATTTCAGAAAAATAAAAAGAAGATAAAGACACGTATATATTTATCAATAATTTAGTTTGATCCCTTACTTATCTTTTTATGATAAGCTAATAACTAATAACTTAATTACTAATAAATAGTAATCTTTTTAACAGTATTATTTAAGTCGGACCGGACTGGGAGGGTCAACCTATAGAACCTCCAATAAGATCCAAGCCCGACCCAAATGAGTCTTATGAGTTATTGTAGACACCACATTTTGTCCGGAGCAACCATCCTACTTAGAACTCGGAAGAATATCTTTTTTAAAATGCAAAAAGAAAACCCAAGCGAAAGTTTAGATAAGGTTGGTTGAGATTAGCAGTAGCTAATGGCTACCAAATTCGCTTTATTTAGAATAGCAATAGTATGCCGTCACGACTTATACCGGTATTATTGTTAACGATTGGTGATATAGGTCTGAAATTGGTTGAATGGGGTATTGGTCACGATTCTTAACTAAGAATTATTTACTTAGAAGTTGGGATATTGGTCACAATTGTAGTTAACGAATTGGTTTGAAATAATCAATTGAATGATTGAGTAATACATACAATGATCATCTAATTCTAAAGGCAAGGACATAAATAAACAAATGTGTAATTACAAATTACAATCTGTGACATTTAGGATACACCTTGTAATTATACATTTTATAAAAATAAAAAAATAAAAAAAATTCTGCTTTTGGTGGCACCAATCAGAATTAGAGGCCTAGCCTTTTGAGGCTATTTAGGCCTCCTTAGGTCATCATTTTGGGCCAGACCAGAGACCTGCAAAGAAAAAAGAAGTGTTAGAAGGGCATCCCAAAACAAAAACCCACAATCCAGGTCCATATCTCAGCCCAATTAACTCTGGTCGAGCCAGTCAACTCGGGTCGACCGGGTTAGCTCTGGCCGACCCGGTCAACCAAACCCATCATCCTTATCTTATCTACAAGAACAGCAGAACCGCCGAACAGCAGAGTAGTAGAGTAGTAGGGTAGCAGAAATTACTGCCATCTCAAAAAGAGGAATTCGGCCACCTCCTCCAAAGAACCAACACCAAATTGCCAACACAAAAGTTGGTTCAGACAACCACCTCAAGAGCAAAGGAGGAGGAGCCAGCACACAATGATGAACAGTAAAAAGTGATCATATATAAGGGGGGTTTCTTACCCCAAACGGGGGCAGGGGGAATTTTGGGGAGAGAAAGAGCAGAGGAAAAAGAACGAAAGCACTAAAAAGACAGACAGGACATTAAACACAAAAGGGCAGACAAGAAACACTAAAGGGCAGACAAGAAGCACTAAGAAGACAACAAGAGGCCATCGCCATCAAACACCAAACGACAAAGAAGACAGGTTGGTGTTTCCTCATCTCAGCAATCGCACAAGCATATATTCATCCATACATCCATGTAGAGATGGAAACTCAACCATGATTATATAATGATGTCCTTATTTTATAATCGATAGATGTATGAAATAGTCCTTCATAAAATTCAACGGTTTTGATGTGTATTGTCTTTGTGCTCAGTTTCAAATCAAAGTAGCTTTGAGAAATTTTGACTGTGATAATTGTCTGTCTCTTTGCTCCGTTCATATTTCATTACATGCTATGTTAGGCAGCTTCTTAGCTATCACTAGCGTGCCATGAATCCTATTGGATCGTTTCAAGTTTTTCTAGCGAGCATAATTCATTTTAAGTTGCTAGCTAAACTTAGTTCTCTAATCAGCTAGGTTAGTCCACCAGCTCTTTCACACACAAATAACATTAGCAACCCAAAGCGTAGTAAAGATGATCTAACAATCCATTCAAAACACAAAAGAATTCAAAACAGACCCTTGGGAGAGTATTTTAAAATACCTCTTTTTGTGTTTAAGGGCACCCCTCTTTCGACCCAATTACCAACTTTTTGGTAATTACAAACTTCTCTTTTTTAGTTGTTATATTTTCGCACGCCTAACACCATAAAAGCCCTGATGCTATTGAAAATTTCAGATTCTACCAACTCATACCAGTTTTTTAATCAATCATATAACCAAATCCCAATTTAGAAGAAAGCTTCCCACCAATATGGTGGTCATAAGCAGTGGCTTTGACCTCATATTATGCTAGGATCATTATAGACACTAGAATCTAATAAAGCAAGCTTTCGTTTTCAACAAATCCAAAACCAAATATTAAAGCCGAATGAGCCCAACAGGGGTACGAACCAAAACCCTGTTTTCTTAACACCACAGGAATTAATAGATAAAATCCTAGCCACAATAACCAATCCATTAGTCATAAGTTAGGAAGAGTATCACCTATTGGTCTCTTTAAATCGTAGGGATCTGTAAAAAAAGAAGAACCCTAGATCAGAAATCCAAAAATAATGTTAATAAAATTACCCAGAATAGCGAAAATAGAAAATAATAATAACCTACCCAAAACCAGACCCTCGCCGTCGGCTCTGGCGCTGGCCGCGCCGCCGGCGACCCCATTTCCGTCTCTCCTCTCGGCGAGAACCAAAAAAACACAAAAATTACTATCACAAGCAAAAAACCACCTGTGTGACGTCGTCACACCACCGCCGGTCTTCGCCCTCCTTCACCCCTCGTCCAACACCAAGAACCCAAACAAAAATCAAGATTAAAATCACGTCTTATGTAAAAAAATTAGATCTAAGCGTGCATGTTTAAGAGAAACTCACCGAGAGAGTAGGAGGAGGTAGATCGAAAAAAATCCCCTCGGTTTGGGACGTTTTCTCCAGAAATGAAAAAACAGAAAATTAGTAAATTTGGAACAAAAAATATAAAAAAACAGAAAATAAAAAAGGGTCATGCATGTCACGGCTTCACCTAGATCGAGAGTCTTCTGGTAATTTTCGAGTGACCGACGGCGGTATCCCCGCCTGTTGCTGCTGTAGTCGGCGGCGAGACCCGATGCTCGTCTCCTCTTCCGCTCGCACAAATAAAAAACAAAAAAAAAACATCAGAAACCTTTCGATTTTCACAACAAAAAAAACGAAAAAAATACAACATGCAAGGATAGTATCTTACTCAAATCGATTTTCTTTTTAATCCGGTGAGCGGGGTCGTTTCTCGCGTTCATCAAGTCGAGAGGGAGAGAGCCGAGAGAGGAGAGCGGCGGCGGTTTTGAGCGAGGCTAGGGTTGGTTTCTCTGACCGAGATGAGGGACGAGAGAAGAGGCGGCGGTTTCGATTTGGGGGCTAGGGTTTCGGGCGGCTAGGTTTCTCTGGAGAAGATGAGGACGAGAGGGAGAAAGGCTAGGTTGTTTTTTTTTTCTGGGAGCGAAGAAGAGAGGAGAAGAATCGAGAAGGAAAAATGAGAGGGAGATGAGAGAGAGGGCGGCCGCCGCTTAGGGTTAGAGCAGATTAGGGTTTTGCTAAGAGAAGGTTATATACCCTGTTATTTGAAATGGCAAAAATGCCCTTAGGGTTTCCTCAATATTACCCCTCCCTACCACCGTGTTTTCGTTCATTTACCAAGATACCCTTCTTCATTTCAGTTCCAAAACGAAAAAAACACCAAAATTAAGGCTCTTACCGAGTTTCGAACTCGTGTTGTGTGGCACGCACGTGAATTAACAACGGCAGTCATACCAGTTGGGCTGCCGGCCCATCGTGTGTGTTAAATTAACCATCCCGCTTAAGTTTATTTGTTTATAGTTCTTAATACGAAATGGCAAATGCGGATTAAGTTTATCTCGTTACTTTTCCAATACGAGTCAAGCCTCTCCCTAATAACTTAAATTACTATATTCTCTTTTCATAATTTCATAGTAATCAAATTAAATTTTATTAACATAAATTATAATACGAAAATCACGATCAGTGGAACGTGATGAAAATGTCACAATTAAACTATCAAAGTTCAAATGAACTACGTGGACTTTGATCCCGTCTAACGGGTACGTAGGCAACCGGTAAGGTTCGAGTCCAACTAACCAATTAATTATATCTTTTACGTCAGTGGACGTATAATGTAATTACAACTAACACGATTTAGTTTCTTCAATGGTCCAGTGGGACCCTCAAATTACAAAATTGTTACTAAAATACACCCAACTTGCATAAAAACTTATCGACTTAAGTAGTACCGATTTAGGGCGTTGTGGGGGTGTTGCTTAACTTCCCCACACGTAACCGTACTCCCGAACCCAGAACTTTATTTTCGCAGACCATGCCTCGGTTCTGACACTAAGGTTAGAGCCGATTTGAAGAGTGTTCGATCCACTCCAAACAAGATCGATGGCGACTCCCAAAACAGCCGACGCGACGATCTACGGACCCCCCGGACGGGACGGTTGCGACAGTTGGCGACTCCGCTGGGGACTTCGAGAGTCGAGCTACATAATTAAGTTCGATAAGTTTTATATTTTCCTATTAAATGTTGGGTGTTTACTTGCTTATTTGCGCAATTATATTTTCGCAATTTAATTCTGCATTCATGCATAAAAGCTCTATGCCCGAGCTATCCCTTTAGAAAATTGAAAGGAGTACCGTGACCTCCACAGTAGTGGTAGTCACGCAAAACTTTCTAACCAAGTTGAACTCGGATCCGAGGATGATCTCGAGGTATCCAGTCAGTCTGAAAAGGCTACGGCAAGATACAACTTGGGAGCCAATTCCCTAGCAATCCCTCTGCCCGCATATAGCAAGCTTAGAAGCCACCTTTAACCGTCCAAAACATTTCCTAAGCCACCCTTAACCATGTCGTTACGCTGCACAAACACACCTAGGTGATACCTAAAATAGGCAGTCATTACTTTTTGTATTTGTACATGTATATGTCGCGTATATATTTCCTACTGCTGTGATAAATGTTTCGGATATTCCGTATTTTAAATGTGTATGGCTATACTATACTTTGTGTATATTCTCACAAAAAGTAAATATTTTGGTTATTCTCTATTATTTGTCTTCATTTGCTTGCGTAATAAAAAACTTATGTTTTGAAAATGACTAAAAATGATGTAATAATATTAATAATAACGATAATAAGTTAGATCGAGCATATTTTCATGCATCACTATCATATGCATTTCTATATCGCGCAAAATTAAAACTTGAGCCATTTGCATATGATGATTAGATGGAAGGCACCTTTATAGCCCAGCCAGTGGTCGCTCGTTCTGCCACCAACAAACTTGCTCCTGTCTGGATTGATCAAAATTTAGTCCGCAACCTGAGGGGTGTGCCATCTGAAATAGTTCAGGACATCGTTTCGAGGGGCCTGAGGAGAAATGATGATGTATTTATCGAAAGGGCAAGAAATCTACTACTACACAAGTATGGCAGCCACAATCTCCCCATCAAACACCTCGACTGGACACCAGATCTCATGTGCCTGAACGTATTCTATATACCTCTCGAAGAGTACCCAGACATGTCAAAAATTGTGTACTGCCTCCTGAGACGCATGATTCGTGTATGTACTATAGGAATCATAATGCACAAACCAGTTTTGAAGAACTGTATTCACAAATGGGAAACATTCCCCGATAAAGTAACTCTCCTGGGGAAATGGCTTCGACAGTTCTTATCACTACGCCGATGGGCGATCTTCCTTGATGAAAATCATAATGACTATCTTTTCCTTACCTTTCATGTGGAAAGGGAAATAATGATCGTGGATAACGGATACGTGGTGGTGGAAAAACCGTCTGCAAAGTTCGAGCAGAGTTTTATAGAGAATCCCACTTTGGAACCAATAAAAATGGCTACAACATGGAAAAGCATGAAAGATAGACTCTGCATGCGCAACAACTTATCACCAAATGACGTGCCAGTAGCATTAAGGTCCGCCAGGAACTACCACACTGACGGAAGAATCAAAGAGGCGTGTTTCCCACCGTTCATGAAGGAGAAATATTTCTTGAAAGAAGCCAAGTAGAATATGAAGCAGGCAGCAAAAATGAGAACTTACATAGACGAATGCTCTAAAATACCAGAAGATATAGACCCCGAGGAACCAGAGTCCTCGCGTATGTTAGAGTGAAGACCGAAGGCCCTAGTAACTGTCGACCGTTAGGAATAGGTCGACTATTTTGACATATTTTGTTCAGACTCCCTATCCAAAAAAAAAAAAAAAAAAAAACGGAAGGACAAGGAGTTGCTCAGGGTATGGCAACCAGTTGGGTAGCCGTTTTTGCTTAGTACAAATGTAACCCTGAATGATGAAATAAAGGGCTTGGTGTTTTGCGTCTAATGTCTATGTGGATGGCTTAACTTTAACTGTGCGCGATAATCATATCATTGCACGCATGCATTCACACCTATTCTTTTATTTCGATGTTCCTAACACGTCATCTCATTGATAGGTTTTGCCACGAAATAACATCCTTGCTACAGGACTTTATATGTACAACATGGCGGGAATATCACCCATTATCGAAGAAGAAGAGATGGTAATGTTCGAGTCAATGAAGCGATATAGGGACGGAGGTGATCGTCTACCGAGGGGCACAGTGATTGATTTGCTACCCATGGGGCCAGTCAGGATTCTTGATAACAGAATCCAATCACTCAAGCAGATGTGGGGAACTTTCACAGAACATGAGCAGAAGGTGTTCACTCGCACTTATGGAAGAATACCTGATCTGTTATATGTCCCATTCCCGGCGAACATGATCCAAGAAATGCTCAACTATTGGGATCCGTTCTATCATTGCTTTTCCATAAATGACAATGATTTCTCCCCCCTTATGGAAGAGTACAAATCTATCCTCCAAATAGATCCCAAGAAGCCGTATAAGATCTACGTCCATAAGCCCTATCTCAAAGCGAAGAATGTATTATCCCAGATTCTAGATACAAAAAGTACAAAGATAGAACATTTAATAGGATCTGATGGTGAGATCGAGTACATTCACGTCGACACACTCATATCTCAGATAAATATCGGACCGAAAAATGAGAAAGATTTGAAGATATTCGCACTGATACTATATGGATTAATCCTATACCCTCGAATGCCAGACCACATTGACAACTCTGCCATGAAAGTGTTTGAGCAAGATACACATGATGTCAACCCAATATTCTCTATTCTGTCTGAAACATTTGCTGCTTTGGGAAGATGTAGAGAAAATCGTGGGGGCATCCTACTTGGTTGCGCCCCATTACTAGTGGTCTGGATTTTTGGACATCTTAAACCCTCTCCGAGGAAAGGGATCCCGATAATTAGATACTCATTCGTCTTCGACGAAAGGAGATGCTCAGTTAGAGAGTTTGCCTCTGGGGACTTAATATATATGTCAGCATCTGAAGAGCATTGGAAAAATTATTTCGCCACACTCGGGAGTGAAGATATCCAATGGAAAGCCCCGTGGATGTACGAGGGAAGTGTATTGTATAGCTGCGGGTCCGACCCATGGGTACCTCTGCTAGGTCCCGAGGGATGCGTGGCATACGCACCTAATATGTTCAGGAGGCAAGTGGGTTGCATGCAGTTTGTGCCAGCAACCGAAGGGATGGGTTGGTTTAGTTACCGGTATTTCAATCCCGATTCAAAGGCTAAAAGTGAGCGGGTACTACCATGTTGGAAAAATCCGAGACTAATCAATCGAAGTTTGAGCATTGCAATGATGAAAGATGATCAAGACCTCCACAATTCCCTGGCTCCTGAATACGCACCATGGTATCAGGGGCGAGGAAAAGCAGTCACTGTAGACAGGAAAGGCAAGAGGAAAATGGATTTTGAACCCAGATTGCCACCGGCGATACATCATCAAGCAGGATCTTTGGCTAAAGATATGGCTCTAAACCGACTACAACGAGAAAATGATGAGATGCGGGCATACGCAAGAGGGAATTTCACCCAGATAAAGAGACTTGAAGAAGCAAATTATATCCTGAACCAAAGGGTTATTCAGTTGGAAGGTCTTAGCCATGAGCAGAAGTCTACAATCAACGAACACCAAAGCGCAAATTGGGCAATGCAAGAAAGATTAGAGCATCTGGAAGAATGGGGACTACGAACGGAGCATCTTATCAGTAAGCAAAAGAAGGAAGCTATCAAATATCATGAAGAAATTAGCCGATTAACTACTGAAAAAGAGGCTATCGAGAAGGAAAATGCGGACTGGAAAATTACAGCACAAACACTGGAAAACAACAGGCTGAATGAAGAACGGAAAGTTAACCGCCTCATGGAAGTTGTTAGAGGAGCTACTAGAAGGGCATATGAGTTGTCCAATGAAGCTGAGGCGGCTAGACTACGTCTGGTACAAATGGAGAATCCGGATCCCGACCTTCGAACCTATCTCGAAAACCTGCAACAAGAGCTGATGTATTATGGAAATTTTCACTAATCATATTATAATACTTTATAATATGGTAATGTAAGGTAGCAGGGGAATAAACAATGTACTTTGGGTTGTTTTTGTAATCATGGTCTCTTGTGAAATATGTACGAGGCCATGTAGTAAGCATATAGCGCCTTGAAGCGCACATAAATTGTAATGGTAGCCCCAGCTACTGTAAATATAAAGTTTGGAAGCAGAGGTGTTATCTCATTGGCAAATCCTAGAATTGCATTCAAGCACTAACAAAAACATCACATCATGCATTCACCTCATATAGCATAAGCATGACATCATATCACTCCGCATCGACTAATTATAAACTATTCAACGAGAACACAGGAACCAGAGCACCGGATTTTCTTTAAAATTGATCGTCCACCAGGGAAGAGTCAAGACTTTACATACTTAACGAGATCTAAGGCCGAGTTCGTCATGGAAGCTTTTCAGAAGAAGCTGAATGACATCGAAGGAAAGATAACTGGATTTGATGAAAAGCTGGTTGGGTTTGATGAAATGAAAGATCAGCTGAACATGATAGTAAAAATGCTGTCGGCAAAAGGAAAGGAAATAGTATCCAATGATGAAGAAGTACATTCTGAAGATGATGTTCCTCCAAAAGGGGAAGGTTCGGGCCCCAAAGTCATCATCGTGCATGACAAAAACAATACGGGATCCCCTGAACACGACCAAGAGAGAGAGAAAATAGAAGGCGGTGAAAATGACATACTATTGAAAGAAAAATGGGAATACCTGGACGAAAGAGTGAGAGCCATCGAAGGAGTAGAATCATATGGTTCTACTGATGCCACGCAATTATGCCTCGTACCAGACGTGATAATTCCCCCAAAATTCAAAATCCCAGAATTTGAAAAATATGACGGTACCACGTGCCCTAGAAACCACCTAATCATGTATTGTAATAAAATGGCCAACCACGTCCAAGACGACAAGCTTATGATACATTGTTTTCAAAACAGCCTAACTGGGCCAGCCGCAAGGTGGTACATGCAGCTCGAAAGGTCAAAAGTCAAAAGATGGCAAGATCTTGCTGATGCATTCATGAAACACTATAAGCATAATCAAGATTTGGCCCCAGATAGGGAAGATCTACGCGCCATGGAAAAGAAAGAGGAGGAGTCCTTCCGAGAGTATGCCCAAAGGTGGCGAGGAAGAGCTGCAGATGTTCAGCCCCCTCTATCTGAGAAAGAAATGATCTCTACTTTCTTTGAAACCCTGAAGCCTCCATATTACAATAACATGGTCGGAATCACTACAACAAATTTTGCTGATATGTTAGTAATTGGTGAACGAATTGAGAAGGGAATCAAATTAGGGAAAATGGAAAGCCCAGAAGCTTCACGGAAGGCGAGCCACATCAGAAAGAAGGAAGCGGAGGTTAATTCAGTCCAGGGAGAGTCCTCAAAAATAGGGAGATGGAACAGTCGACCTCAACCCAACCAAATTCGTCCATACATAAATAATGCTACAGTTGTTACTCAACGCCCGAATTATGCTACTCAGCCACTAAACCAGAATCGACCACAAGCACCACCCCAAGCAAACAACAGAGATCAGAACGTCACTCGAATGTATGGAAAAACTTTTCAAATCGATCCTATTCCCATCACATATACTGAACTCTTTCCTCAGTTAATCCAAAGTCATCTAATTGCCCCCATACCATCTGAGCCCCTGCAACCACCTTACCCTAATTGGTATAAGCCGGATCAACATTGTGCCTACCATTCGGGGGTCCCAGGGCATTCAACTGAAGATTGCAGAATACTGAAAGTTAAGGTACAACAGTTGATAAAAGTTGGTTGGCTAAAATTCGAAGAACAGCCCAACAGACCGAATGTTAACAATAATCCATTGCCTAATCATGGGGGGCAGGGAGTAAATGGCATCGAAGAATTTGAACAATACGAAGACAGGGTAAGTGTGGAAGAAATAAAGACACCTTTGGAGTGCATCTATAAAATACTATCCCACAACAATTACCTGGAGGACCCTGATGAAGAGGTACCCGTCATAAATCTGGAAGATACATGTCTTTATCATGCGGAAGTTAAGGGGCATTCTATCCAGCATTGTGATCCATTCAAAATAAAGTTACAACAACTCATGGATGCGAAAGTGATACTAATTCGAACTAGAGGCAAAGTCATGAGGGACGTAAATATGATGTCCTCGCTAACTGACGAACCCCAAAAGCAGGAAAGGTTCATTTGCTACCAAGCACGACAGGATGAGCCTAGCCCTCCATCCTCAAAAGTGGTCCCTCTGGTCATAAAAACCCCAAAACCGTTCAAATATGAAAATTCAAAAGCAGTACCATGGATGTACAACTGTCAGGCAGATCAGAACACCTTTACTCGCCAAAGTGAAGTGACAAACATAACCGGGATAGGCGGTATGACTAGAACAGGCAGGTATTATACCCCGGATGACGTTGAAAAGCGTAGAATTGAGGAATTGGCAAAAAGGCAAGAAATAAAGCAGGGAAAGCAAAAACTCCCCGAGTTCACGAACCCACAGCTCAATGAGGAAGAGGAGAGGGCACCGATCATGGAAGGTCCAAAAGAGTACCAAAAACAAGTTTCTGATGAGGATGCATGTGAATTCCTAAAACTGATTAAGCAAAGTGAGTTCAAGGTGGTAGAGCAGTTGAACCGCACGCCTGCACGAATTTCTCTTCTATCCCTAATCCTCACTTCTGAACCTCATCGTCAAGCTCTAATGAAAGTACTAAATCAAGCTCACGTATGCCATAATGTATCAGTAGAAAAGGTAGACAATATCGTCGGAGCTGTCCTGACTAGCGGAAAGATCTCGTTTGACGAAGATGAAATCCCCACCGAGGGAACAGGTCACACCAAAGCTCTGCACATTTCGCTAAAATGCAAAGGCCATATGATAGCTCGTGCGCTTATCGATAACGGGTCAGCTCTAAATGTAATACCCAAATCAACCCTCAATAAACTCCCGGTGGATGAATCATACATCAAGCCGAGCTTTGTAGTAGTTCGGGCATTCGATGGTACTAAACGCAAGGTAATCGGCGAAGTCGAGCTTCCAATCCAGATAGGACCAAGCATCTTCAACATCTCGTTCCAGGTGATGGACATTACTCCCACATACAGCCTCCTACTGGGTCGACCATGGATACATTCGGCAGGAGCAGTGCCATCATCGCTCCACCAGAAAGTTAAATTCATCATTGACAAGAAGTTAGTGGAAGTCTACGGGGAAGATGATATAATGATAACGAAAGCACCAGATGCACCATATATCGAAGCTACAGAGGAAGCTCTTGAAAGTGCATTTCAGTCGCTAGAAATTGAAGACGTCGCATACGTCAACAAGGAAAATAAGACGCGAAACCCAAAACCATCTGTAGCCTCCATCATGGCTGCCAAACAATTGATTAAGGGAATTGACAAGTCAATGTGGAACACCCTAATCAGGCCGCCAATGAACATCAAGGAAAATAAAAATCGTTGCGGTTTGGGGTACTCGCCAAGTATGTTGGATATGAAAAGGATCCAAGAGGAGAAACGAAACAAGAGGTTGGTTCGCTTAAAAGGGGACAATTTTGAACACGAGAAGATCAAGATACCCCACATAAGTCAAACCTTCATAAGTGGAGGAACGATCAATAGTAAGACTGTCGATGTCGTCGAGGCAAACATAGACCTAGAGGACCATATGATGTTAACTGTTTTCAGTGATTTGTCGATCAACATGGCTGGGGGGAATAACACTGAATCGTTCGAGTTTGTCCACCTGATGCGTCCAGATGAAGAGCTGTGCAATTGGAAGTTTGAAGACATGCCTATACCAGACGCAATGTAATGTCGTGGGCACGAGAAATCGAAAGTATCGTATAATAATGAATAAAATGTAGTCGAAAAGACTAGTTAAGCTTTTGTTAAGACTGTAGTGGGAAATAAAGCGCACTTATAGCACCTTCCTTTGTTTTCAAATAAACATATGCATTTGAATTCCAATCGTTCATGACATGGATTTCTATCCCTTCCTTATTCCACGTTATTTTCCTTTCCTTTTTGCCTTTATATCTTTTGCTTCAGGATATGTGAGCAATGGGAGGATACTCGAGATCTTCATGATTTGACAATCAACTTTGACTTACCTATTAATCAAATGGAGTCGGATGAGGAAGAAGAGGAATCTTCAGACTGGGATTGGGTGCTTGAGCGGGAAGAGCCAGCATTACAACCGTATGGTGAAGCAATCAGAGTGGTAAACATAGGGACGGAAGAAGATCAGAAGGAAGTGAAAATTGGGGAAAGTTTAAGTAAAGACGCACAAGAAAGGCTTGTAGACCTGCTAAAGGAATATCAAGACGTGTTTGCTTGGTCTTACAAAGACATGCCCGGTTTAGACGAAAAAATAGTAATGCATCACTTGCCTTTGAAACAAGATAGCAAACCCATTAAGCAGAAATTGAGAAGAATGAAAGCAGAATGGTTGTTGAAGGTCAAGGAAGAAGTTCAAAAACAATACAATGCAAGTTTCTTACGAGTAGCCATATATCCTGAATGGGTCTCAAATATTGTCCCAGTCCCTAAAAAGAATGGAAAGATCCGAGTATGCGTAGATTATAGGGACCTAAATCGTGCGAGCCCAAAAGATGATTTCCCATTACCTCATATTGATGTTCTTATCGACAATACGGCTGGTCATCACACATTCTCCTTCATGGACGGTTTTTCAGGATATAACCAAATCAAAATGTGCCCAGAGGACATGGAAAAAACGACTTTCATCACATTATGGGGAACGTTTTGTTACATTGTAATGCCTTTCGGGCTGAAAAACGCAGGAGCTACTTACCAAAGGGCAATGGTCACGTTGTTTCATGACATGATGCATAAAGAAATAGAAGTCTATGTGGATGACATGATAGCCAAATCTAGACCAGGAGAAGATCACGTGGAAATCCTACGAAAGCTTTTCAAAAGATTGCGTAAATATCAATTACGATTGAATCCTGAAAAATGTACTTTTGGGGTCACATCGGGAAAGTTGCTAGGGTTTCTAGTAAGTCAGAAAGGGATAGAAGTCGATCCAGACAAAGTCAAAGCAATAGTTGAAATGCCGCCACCCAAGACCCAGAAAGAAGTAAGAGGATTCCTCGGACGCTTGAACTATATCAGTAGATTCATTTCACAATTGACCCCCACATGTGAACCCCTTTTCAAACTACTCAAGAAAAACCAACCATGTGAGTGGGACGA